CTCCTCATATGGTAAAACATTGGCTTAACCTGGAAGATTGGATCAGAGCACGCCTAGTTTACGAAACTGCAGAAAATAACTTCTCGTCAAATCTGTTGTTTAGCACGTGGAGAAGATGTAATATGCGATAGCAGAACCTACCATTCAGAACTGGTTTGGGTAACTTAATTTTCTTCATGAAATAAGGATCAAAGATGCAGCACGCTCATAACGATTTCCTTTTGCGCTACTCCATAATTACACGTATTTATTAGAAATAATAACACAAAGTTACCTCGTTAGTATGGGCCAGTGATAGTGAACATAAATAATGAAACTCCTCATTTGCATCTATATTAATTTGGGAAGTTGTGAAAGTCAACCAAATGAAATCCACATCTGAATACGCATGAAACGCGTCTTCATAGTCTGCCACCTTATTGTCCCGCTCTTCTCCACGTCATCGCAAAATCTCGTCCTCTTAAGAATGTCGTCTGATTAAATAGCTGACAGATTAGCAGACTTTTGATGGTAATGGCTGTCTATTGTAATGTTAAAAGAACCAACCTATTACTTGTCATCTTCTACGCTTCCAAGACAAGCATCACTTTCCTACAGAATGCTTTGTGTGTGGTAAACCACAAAAACTGCGTAATTTTTCACTTTAATTAATAATTGGCTAGGAGCCGAACAACTACGAATTTGATCTCTCTGTTTGGCAAAAGACGATGCAGCTAGAAGGTGTGAAAGAAAACTTTTCAAAGACAGGACTAGTTAATAAGGTGGGAGGAGGCTCCACTCTTGAAAGACAGTGCAAGGCCTCATTTCTCTTATCGCAAAACTGCCCTATGAGAGGATTTTCATTTTAGGAGAGGAGGCAAAGAGGCGTAGCTTCATTCCCATCCATATCCTCCATATTCTCCCTACAAGTTCACGGGTGATTGTGACCTTTCTCGGCACTCGAATTGGTTGCATTATCAGATAATTAAATTGCTTTTAATACGTCATTATCCTTGTTAAAACTAGCGCTTTTTCCGAACTCGTTACATTTGGGTCGCTTTGAGCAAAGTAATTCCCAATGAACTCTGAAAATAATCATCAGCAAACAACATTTAATGCTACCGGCACCCTTTTTTGAGAAAAAAAAACATGTGCGCCTGGCAAGCACAACTGAGATCTGATAAGATTAAATTGTGCATGACTTTTGAGAACTATCAATTAAATGAGGACCATATATGCAAACCTTTAAACCATCAAAACTTGTTAAATTATCGACTTGATATTGCTCAACAAAAGAATGGACATCGTTTACCAAATTAGTCTAAATTCATTTAAAGTTATTTTATGGTAATGAAAACCAACATTAACCTCTATCGAGAAATTCAGTCGTATCAGTTTTCGTGTGAATAGGTTGATTTCGTTACCTTTCTTTGATGGTAATCTATTTATGTTCATTAGAATTCTTAGTGCATTCAGAAGAAATAAGGAAGTGAAACTAACAAGACGGAACCCCAGTTGTCTTGGATTTATCAATTAGTACAGGAAAGGTATAGATTCCAAAATCAATAGGCTGCGCCCATGAAAGAGGCTTCAAGGTAGGAAATGAAATGAGAAACCGATTAGTAATGTGCTTACTTTATCACACGGGCAATCACGTTTACTTAATCGGCATACGTTCTAGTTTGCCGTCACCTCCCTCGACAATGCTACGTACCATTTTCTAACAAACATACGTTGAGTAGACTGGTAGCTTGTGCCGATTGCGGTCCACCTTGTAAATTCATCACTCTAAACCCTTAGACGTGTTCGAAAGCCAACTTGTGGAATATTTTAAAACTTATAATGGATTATGCGACCACCTTTTCTCTTGATAATTCCTTGGAACTTGTGAGACAGTGTTTTTAGGAACACTTTAGTGAACTCACTTTCTGTGTATTCATTAGCGTTAATGAAAACCAGCGTAAGGATGTACTTTCCTTTGTAATTAAACGAGGTAGTCCATCGGGGTCAACAATGCTCACTTTCATTAATTTGGTGGAAATTTTAACATGTACTGATCATGCTAACACAAGTTTTGCATTAATAATCTTGACTGGTTAAAATCCAATGAAAATGGAATTCACAGTCTCAAATTAAAAAAGCAGTCACCGTGGGTATGCCACTTACACACGAAGAGTATCTCTTTCATTACGTCTTTTTTTTCCATCTGAATAAAAAACCAACTGAATCGAGCATAAGGATGCAATGACTTTGGAAGTCTAGTATTATAAATGCCTACTTCACGGTAGAAACATTTTTCGCCCTTGGTCACTAATTGTGTGTCTGTGGTATATACGGTAGTAATGAATAGTGGTGATAATCACTTTGCAGAGAAATTCAATTAATATAATCTTTTTGTCTACAAATTTCACTAAACCCAAATTGCCAAAAGCAAGTAACAATACAATAGGTTTTAGATGAAAAAAACTTGAATCACCTAAAGTTGTAAATGACCCTTTTACCGACAATAATTTTATTTTGGTCTTTGAAAATAGTGGTTTTGCTTGAGGTAACTTAGAGCGTCTAGGCCTAACAATGATTTTTGTAGTGCTGCAGGCCCTATGCACAAAATATCACCAAGTTCCGTCTATGAGGTAATTTAAACTTGCTCTCAGTTTTATGGACATCTTATTGCGTCTACGCAAGAGCTAAATTTAACGTCCATCCATTTCCTTCAGGTAGAACAAAACATCGCATAATAAAAGCAATCATATTTTAGTTTCAAGAGCCCCACCTGTGTACACCAGCGTCAACTCTTATTATATCACACTTTTCTAAATAAAACTTACTCATTGAATAAAAAGGGAAACACTTTTGCCTGCAGACATTTTGAAAATCTTGTATATTAACCTTCAGTTTAAAATTCCACTGAAATATGAACGCCACGTAGACTTTCTGGTGCGAGCAGTCATAACCAGATTTCCATGGCTACTGATTAACTTGTCTAATAGACCCCACTTTTAATGATTCGTCATTAGCCGTCTGATCACTTTATGCTCGTAGCAGAATTGAGAAATCAACAATCTAAAACCAATTCACACATTAAAAGAGAAAATCATTGCAACAATAAAGGAAAATGTTGACAGATATATTTAAACACAAAATTGGTAAAAGTGAATGTTTGGCGAGAAACAGACTTATTCTCAATAGGCGTGATTTGCAACGAAATTCGATTGTTCACCGGCGGCCAGCTCCAGCTTCCCATCGAACTTGCCCAGACTCGCTTCGCTGTTTGCCTACAAGTCAATAGCGTTCCGTGAATAGACTCCACCTTTTACGCAAGTAAAGCAGGAAATTGTGGCAATGGTACAATTCCAAAACTTGCTTTAGCCAGTTTGAGCAGTTCACACTGAGCAGCCAAGATGTTGTCCGGGTTGCCCTGCCACGTCTCAATGACGGAAGCCTGAAGAGCGCGACCAAAACTGAAAGACAATGCCCAAGGCTTCTTCATTTTTGCCTTATTAATGGCGTCAAGGTTCATCGTTGCATCGAGCTCAGACATTCCACCTGAGAGGAAAACTATACCAGGGACTGCGGGGGGAACAGTGCGTTGAAGGGTCTGGATTGTGGCTACGGCATTCTGCTCTTTCGTGTACTTTTGGCTGCAACTTTGACCAGCCGTTACCATATTTGGCTTGAGGAGAGTTCCTTCCAGATAGACGTGGTGATCGGCCAGAGCCTTGTATACGAATGAAAGCACCTCTTCAGACACTCTTTGTCCAACGAAGAGGTCATGGTTCCCGTCTGGAAGGACTTCTGGTTCAACAATCGGGACAATTCCGTTCTAGAAATGGCCAAGACAAACTCAAGCCACTTACCTGTTGGCAGATTACAGCATATCGGGCCAGCACATTGGCATTCTCCATCATAGCCTGATAGGAAGGTGTGTGTTCCTGAATTTTCAAAACACATCTCCATTTAGCAAAGTGGCAACCATCTCTTTTATACTGAGCACAACGTTCGCTTAAACCATCCAATCCCTGAGTAGTTCCTTCTTCATGAGTTCCAGCCAATGGAACTACACCCTTGTCAACCTTGATTCCAGGAATAATTCCGCGGTCCTGTAAGAGACTTATGAGGGGTGTTCCATCGTCCATCTTTTGGTAGACTGTATCATGAAAGAGGATGACACCTGAGATGTATTTGGCCAAGCAGGGATCCGAACTAAATAGGAGTTGTCGGTAGTTACGACGATTTTCCTCGGTGTTCTCGAGATTAATTGATCTGAAGCGTTTACCGATGGTAGCAACGCTTTCATCTGCAGCTAGTATACCCTTTCCAGGACTGACAATCGCATTTGCGATGTCGCGCAGTTCCTTCAACTTTGCCTCAGGCAAGTACTCCACAAACCGACCCGCCATTTCTACACACGTAGACGTCTCTTTTGGAAAAAAAATGCCAGAGTGGAGGTTCAAACAGGGGTTACGGCATAAATATTTATCGATTCATGGGAACAAGGAGACACGTGAATTGTAACGAATGGTTTCCTTTAAAGACAGTGAGTGTATATCTTTTACCCCTTCCAAAGTAGCCTCTACTTATGAAATTGGTAAAACGTCATATTCGACCAATTTAATAGTCTTTCTTGCTAAGGTCTGTTAAACTTGTTATGTATTCTAACTCATATGGAAAGTCTGGGTAGCGGCATCTGATTTTAAGCTTCTTACAGACCTTTAGCGTATTAATTAAAGATGGGATGAACTGATTTAAGTATATTTTAAGGAAAAACTGCGTCACTGTAGTTTCCCAAAAAAATGGAAATCACAGAGAATATTCTCATTGGCAAAAGGGAAAGGCTCCCTTGCAAGACGCTAAGCCTTAGTAAAATCTTTTTAGAATTAACTTTAATTTCCGTGTTTACAGTCAACTAGGAATGTCTTTTAGCATTTTAACATAAGTAAGGCAATTTTGAGCAAATTCATGAGGTTAAATAGCTGGATTTTTTGTGTTGCACCCAAAAAAAACACAGTTACTTAACGAATCGCACACCTTTTACCTCTCGATACATTCTATATTTGTTTCTTCACTCGCGATAATCTTTACCTGGAATACATTAAGTAATAGACTTTGTGCATCTAGATCTCTAAAGGTAGAGTGAAATAAAGCAAACCGTAAATCTTATGATAAGTTCATGTGAAGTGATTGCGGAAATGAAAGTAACGGATTGACATGGTAGTTAAAGCTCTCTGGATTACGTAAAGTGTCATTTTTTTAGTTTCTAAAGAAGAAGGGAACAACTCTGAACTTACCATACAACATGTAGTACCTAGATATAAAATATGTGTAAAGTAAAAGCATACAATAGAGTGGTTGAAAGTACGGCAATGTTAGCCGTTTACAACCCTGGTTATAGTTTGTGCGTGCTATTTCTTGGAATAATGCCTCCTAAATTCAAATACTATGTATAGGTTTACTGGAATGAAAACCAGTGAAGGGCATGCAATTGTCCACAACGATTTTATACCGTGATGCCTTTTCAGTATACAAGATGGTCAGCTGACGAATGTGAAGCACAGTAAGAAATTTCTTACCTTCCAAAACCATTGATCACTTTTCCATACTACTTCCCCATCTGATCTAAGGTACACTACTTATCATTTTCAAAGTCGGGAGCTAACGACAAAAGGTCATAAACATCAACCGTTTAAAAGTGAGTTATTGCTTCCTAAGAGCTTAGATAAAAGTACCACAAATAATGCGTCAAGACTGCCAAAGATAGTGAGTTTCTAGAATTCCGGCTATCTTAGGCGTGCATTTTTAGCATACACTCAACCCACTGTGATGCAAAATCACCAGTCCACGACTGCTTTTTAAATATCTTGCTATTCTAAATTGCTGGTATGCCTAAAATGTATCGTCTTTTATCGTCATTTCGGTGACAGGCATATTGATGTCAAGTCAAGAAAGTGATTCCGAATTTGACAAATGTAAAGCCTATTTTGGAACTTGGCAATTCAGGGCTATGTTGTGTTGAATTCAAAAAGGATTGAGCTTTCAAAGAAGTTTTAATAGGAACTTGGTTACTTAATTAAGCGCTGTAAATTTCATATAATTTAACACCTTTTAAGTCACAAATGAAGGTGCCACAGATCTCCATGGAGTGCGAAAATTTTGGTATTTTTCCCATCTAATTCGCTCACTAATTTTTTTTAAACCGCAATGCAGTGGTGAAAGAAAACTATATTTATGCTCCAGCTTAAGGTATTAAGCGGTCAAAATTATCTGATCATCTGTACAATGAAATGATCTGTACTATCCCAAGTTCACTCAACCAGTAATAAAGCGGCGAAGCTGTAGCCAAATTGTTTTACTATCTGTCTGCAAGTAGTCCTTTTTTTGATAAATGGGTATTAAAACGTATATTAAAAGGCCAAGTTTTGTGCTTCCGAGGCTAGATAAGTTTTGCCAATTAATTTAATGATCATGACAAAGAGACCACTTTTGCTGAGGTTACTAGGTGAAAATCGCATTACTCCTACCAAAAATACATTTAACCAGCTGCTTTATCGGTAGGGTATTGGGTCACTCTTTTAAATTCAACCAGATTTTCGAACAAATGCACCACAGTTGAGTCCACCCTCCCCGATAGCAAGTATGACATTTGACATTAATACTAATAATCTAATGCCGTGAAACGGTACATGAGACCCTCCCACCCAAGTGTGCTATTACGTGGAAATCGTAAGTGAATACACTACGGAGAGCCCCTTGGAGTCGCAGCTTCTAGCACACTTCAACTCTGGACGGCTATAGCTTCTGTGGATTTTAGCAATGATTGCCAATCTTGTGAATGAAAAGAAGAGAGTGCGAAATCTCGCACACCGAGAGGCGATCCCAGAGACCCCACTAACGGACTCACCTCATTTCCGCTATGGTGAAACTCAATGACAGCACGGCAGTGTGCTGCTCTTCCCTCACTCTTGATGCTCTGAGCAGCAAACAAAGTTACCCTTCAAATATGTTTAATTCTTTTCTATAATCAGTTCTTCGCTATTCAGCTCTACGCAAAAACTTCCAGGAAGCCCCTGAGGCTAGTCGAAGGTCGTAAAGAAGGCAGTGCTCTAAAAAATTATTACGGCTCTGGGCAGCGAGTATTGTCCGAACAAAATAGAGGGTGCGATTCGTAGAGAGAGATATGTAAGGGGAAAAGAAAGTGAGGAAATAAGTAGTAGCGGTGGTAGCAGTTAGCTCATCAAGGAATGTCTGGTTGGGGCTGTGTACACAAATACGCACGCACGCACTTGGAGGACAAAATCGCAAAAAGGTAGAAAAGATGTAGAGAATGGGGCTAGGGCGATGGGAGGCAAAATATCGAAAGACACTCAAACCAGTCTTATCGACTGAGAGGAGATATGACCTAGGTGTAGTCGGAGGGTGGCGGCAGCACAATTGGCTCCGAGGATATGGGCTGTCCGGTACTACCGTCTCCTCTGTTGCCCATGCTCTGGTACATTTCGTCGTCTGAGTCCTGGCATAAAATAGGCAGAAGCGACTTACAAATATTCATGATTTGGTAGTTCCGAAAAAAAGCAATACATATGATTCTCGAATGTCCCACGTATTTGGAATTCAACTGAATTAGTACCTTGTGTAGGACCTACTCCTAATTTGAGGGCCTCGAGGAAATTCGCATAAACGACAACCCAGACTGCAGAATAACACAAGGTTTCTAAGAATCTCCAAAAACGCTGAATTTAGTAAAAAAAACCTCTACAATGGTAAACACTTTTATTTTCCAAAAAGGCTGAGACTCAAATGACATTAGATGAGCTTTGCAATTTAGTTTCTACCAGTGATGCTTGGCAGTGAAGCACATAATTTCCTTTGGCTCTGATTTCTTAAAGACGCCCTCTCGAGCCGATAACATTAAAAGCACCATGTGGTTTATACCAAAAACGTCTGGCCTCATTGCAATGCTGTGGATCTTCACTGACTCATCTTTGTAATTCACGATGTACTAAGTAAATGAATGTTTACCTAAGTGGTAAAAATATATTAAAACATTTATTTTGGATTCTACGACCGAATACAACAACAAAATAACCTCACTCAACGTGACTTTCTACAGCATGTGATGTTTTACACAACAAATTTATCCTCTTATGCTACGAATGATGGAATCGGGGATTTTCCATTCTCTAATATACCACTCAATAGGCAACTTAATGCAAATAAATCCATCCAAAAGAGATGCTTCTTTGCATATGAAAATGCAGTCACTTACATCCCACTCAGCATATGATGAGAATCTGAAAGATGTGGTAATGTAATCAACCTCGTGTCACAGAGCATACACATCGAGTTTGCAAAAAATTCCAGATAGCCAAATACTCCGCTCCTAAAAAAGGCGCTGACTTTCGTCAAATTGGGCATTAATCAGAGAGGAACTTCGATTTGATAAACGAATGTACCTATAGCGTTACTCGATCATTAATTCAGTTCGGTCATAGCTGTCAGAATAGCAAAAAAGACGATCCCCAAAAAACAAATTTAGCCTTTCAAAAAAAAAAAACACGGGATTTGAGTTAACATAGTTTGTGCCACCTAAAGATGCACAATTCAATTAAACAAACACTAGCACACAACTATGACTTCGAAGTACTGGGATTCGAATCCGATCACACTATTTCATTAGGGAACATTAATGGTGCCAAACGTTAAATTAAAAGCCCCTATACAGACGCTAAGACCTTTATCATGGTAATAAAAAGCGCAGTGAGGGAGGAAATGGCAGCATTTCTTGAGCAATCGCCTATTAATCAGTGGCAGTGCACTACACTAAAAGCATAATCACTTCAGAGATAAATAACTGACCCGCATTCAGTTGGAGTGGTAAAAAACCTGATGAATGAAGAAGTCAGTGGAGCCTGCTTACATAATTGATGGCAATACGTGCGGGCTGAATAAAACGAATAGCATGAATTACACAGGAACAAGTGTGCGGATTGGAATCTCGAAGAGAGAAAAGATACACTAGCATGCACGAAACGGAGTCATAAAACAGGTCTGACTACAAATAGCAAAAATGTGACATAGAAGATAAAGAGCTCGCCAAGGGAAAGGTAAGTAATAAGGCAAAATGGCAAGTCAATGAACTTAAATATGTAGTGATCCGATATGACCTCAAAACTGACTATGGGCTCCTATTTCACATAGTGATGAACCGTGTGTTTGCATGGCTGACATAAAGTGTGTGGGAGTTTCTTCATCGTCTTAATTGTTAAATATAACCACCCAAGAGTAGCGTGCACCACAATTATCGTTCAAGAGGGAATGTGTTTCGAGAAGAATAACTACCAAGCCAATAAATGAAAACGCAACGTAGCACTTTGATAGCATTTGCTAATTTTCAATTTAGAAAGTCAAAATAGCTAATGACTTCAGAATGTGACTGACGAAAACTTACCGGTGGTATGTCTAGAAGATCCTCCTCGGGAGCCTTTCTGCAACAAGAACAGCAGAAGCAGCAACATAAACAACAACAGCAGCCAGTAAGGATGAAGAATGTTATACAGAGACACTAGAAAAAATAAGAGGCAGATACCAATTGCTCTAGAGATCCCTTGCTTCATGATGATAGACAAATAGTTACCTTCAAACATGGATTGTTGAGTCTCAAATATGTCATCGCCGCTTCGTCACCAACTGTTTCACTTACATAAATACCATACGAGCCATACTTGTCATATATTTCTTTCTTAGTTTCATCGGATAAAATTACATTTGCCCGGTTCAATTCAGCAAACTAAGACCTGAATAAAAAAAGATTCACTACCTTTTCACCGGCTTTTGGATCGTCGGGATTTTTGTCTGGATGACATCGGAGTGCCAACTAGAAGGTCAGACTATATAAAAGAAGCATACTCTTCGATATGCTCTCCTGATCTCTTCTGGAGTGGCATCTTTCGATAATCCAAGTAGTTCGTACAAGGATTCACCCTTTGTTCTAAAAATCGAGGAATTGTCAGGGAAAAATGTCGTACGAAAGTTTCCTGGGGTCACGAATGCCCGCGCGACTTTCAGTACTTGCAGCACCGGGACTTACTGGCGGCGAAACCATCACGGTGGCGCTCCCAACGATCTAATCCGAGCCGTGTCCCTTTGATAAGCATGGTTTTAAACAATGAGTAAGAGCCACCAAGCCAGGTGTTCGTGTAATATCACACACAAACAAGTAAAGGGCCTAGGTTTCAAATTCACAGATATGCATTAAATATTCCAAAAGAAAAAGATGAGGTCTGAAATAGTGACTAATTTTCGTAGAGTTAAATTCCAAAAAAATTAAAGTAAATTCAATAAAGCGAATATGCATAAGTAAAAACTTGGCAGAAAATGCTAAACTTAAAAGGCATTCTAACGCTGAAGACAACTATCTGTGACCGATATTTTTCTCATTTTAGACAAGCGAAAGTACTTCGCACAGAGGAAGTTAAGCGTTTCATTAGTGCCCCAGGACTTCTTTAAAGACAAGTATCGACATAATTCCCAAAACAAATGTATATTTGACATAGAGTAGGATTTAGAGCTACTGACAAGTGTCAGAAGGCAGCTCATCCGGGGTAGGCACAATGGGGAAGAAAAATAGAGGGCCCTTAATCAATGCCTAAAGGTAAACAAGCATCGTTTTGCATAGCCCTCTCTACCCTCTTTTAAGTGTAATTTGTGGCTCTTTCTCTGGTTCACCTTCAACATCAGCCATCACAACTTAATCGGCGTCGTAAGAAATTCTCATAAGCCATCCATGCAACTGAGAATATTCTTAACCACAGTGTCACAAACCCCTTTTAGCAAATCTACCAAATCTGGGATTTCGTTTTGTGTAGGGTCTGTATTTGAGGACGGGCGAATGTACTGACAATCACGCGAGTCTATAGCTAGTGGTGGTAGCACTGGCCTAAAAGAAGGGTAATGTAGTCAAAGACAGGATTTAACACAGTTCTTTAAGAGCAGAATTTCGCCACTAATACGCCTTTTTACGTTGTTTGTACTTCAAAAGCCGCCAGGTCACATCTGTCTATCTGAGTTTTATCCAGTTAGTAGAAAAGTGGAGAAGGCATCGCGAGGTCATACAATTGATGTCTGCATACAAATGTGGTAGGCAGGTATGTACCAAAGCTTTTCTAAGTGGTTCAAGGTTAATCCCGCTTTTGTTGCTGAGAGCTTCACTAAATAATATGGAACTGGGTTGGTTGCTGAGGCCCTGTGTCATTATCAGCCCTTCTGTTATGGCTTATCACTGATCCTTCCTAGCGATAGTTATAAGGATAGGCGCCAGTTAGGATTAGGTTTGCTGTCACTAATGCAGCGCCATGAGACTTCCTTGAAAGCGAAGGAAAACTATTGCAAGGCCCGAATACGTATATTCAACACGCAGAGGAGGTTAGGGCTACCGGCATGGTTCAGGCAAGGTACATAAGACCTACGAAGAGAACCCATAGTGGCCATTCTTTCAAAACCACAGGTTAAAAACAACTAACTTATTAAATTGTTCTAATTTAAAAGCCTCCATAAATACTGATTGTATTAACTAGCTAAGTTGCTGATAATTAACGCTAATTTTTGTGCAGCTTAGAATAAGGAGTATAATATAATAGTGTCTCCTAGGAAACAAACTATTCAAAACGATGTAATTTATAGAAGGTGTATGGTCTTTTAAACCACACATTCCCCGCGTTGTTTGGTTTCAGGTGTGACAGATGCCTAGTAGTCACTAGGGTCAACAGTATTTCATGCATTATTTTCTCGGGCTTCTTACTTCATGTGGTAGAATCGTATAAACCACACCATACATATGTAAACTCTAGATTTTGGCTCCCAAAAACTCATTAATCCACACTAAAGTTGCCTGTGAAGACATTGGTGTTCGAGAAGTAGAGTCGTCTGTACCCTGCGCCCTGTTGCACATTTTTGCTTTTAGCTGGCAGCATGATTCTTGCAGATTATAGTTTCCGTTTAGCATTTGGTTGAATAGTCCACATTGAGTCGTCCCATACCACTTACAGCGTTTTCTGGTTTTCTGAGTGCGAAACCGTTGTGCGTTAAACTTGTCAAATTGCATCATTGATCTGGGTTTTCCACCCGTAACCGCGCAGGTTTTTGCTGAGGTGAATCTTGTTGATATCTGCTGCTCTAATTATCGGTGATTTGCTAGTTTAACCGCTTCAATTCTATCTCCATGTCTTTTATGTTACAGATGTCAACTTCACTTGAGGAACAAGAAGGTGAAATAGAGGTACTTCAGTCTATCTATGAGGACAACTTCCGTATGCTCTCTTCCAAATCTCCTCATCACTTTGAAATTGAACTCCGTGGACATGCAGTCGATAATCCCGACACGGCAGTTTCATGTACTCTCTACTTTAGATACTCTCCCAACTATCCCTCAGAAGCTCCTCTTTTCGAAATTCGCAACCAACGGGGCCTCTCCGATGACCAGAATATGGACCTAGTAGTGCTCATCTCCGACACCATTAGCCGCTCTCTTGGGATGGTGATGATTTTCGACGTTGTCTCCGACGTGCAACAGAAGCTTGATGAGTTTACAGACGAGTTAATTGCTGAGGTGAAATCGCGTAAGACGAAGCAGACGAAAATCAAGTCTCTTGCTGAAGCGGAGAGGGAAACAGAGGTGGAGAGATGCTTGCTTTCTGGAACTCGTGTTACAGTTGAGTCATTCAACGCTTGGAATAAGGCTTTTTTGGCGGAGATGGCAAAGGCAAAGGAGGCGGAAGAAGCAAAGGCTAAGAAGCTGGGCGTTGGTGGCGGCGGTGGACAGAACGCTGAGTCGATGAAGCGACTCACAGGTCGTGAGATGTTTCTCCGTGACGACCAGTTTGATGACTCCGATTTGACCTTCCTGGCTCAGGAGGGTGGCAAGATTGTGGAGGTGGACGAGAGACTCTTTACAGATATTGGTGAAATTGATCTACCGGATCTTGAAGGGTCTTGAGGGTAGAAGTAGAGCTGCTTAGTACCAAATAGATTATTTGAAGTTGTACAATCACTTGTACATATGTCTTTCAAATGCATCCCCTTTTTTGACGCCTGAATATGGCTTATTCGGCTTATGATAACTTCATATTTAAGTGATGCATAATTAGATTATTTCTGGCCGACTTTTCGTTTCTCTTCCTTCCCCTTAATCTGTTTGGGACTAGAAAAAGGGTTGTTGATGATTTGTTTTAATTCCAGCTTTGGGACGTGATTTCTCATGATTTGCACAGCTCTGCTTAAGTCGGGATCTATTATCAATTGTTCTTTTTTCCGAAAATGTCCCTAAAAAATTAGGAGGAATGAAATTGGAACACACGTAAGTCGCAACAAGCTTGCAAAAAATACGGAATACTAATCCTGTGCTACAGTGAGATAATTCACGAGGACAGCACCACTGGGAGGCGCATTAACAAAAGGCCGGAAGAAGTCTGGTTTCGGAGCCTCAGAACTGGTGTAGTGGTACAGCTGGCACTTGCCTATCGGTGGTGAACATGAAGTCTTCCATCTATGTCTAGCAGTCGGTCGGCAGTCTTTTAATGCTATCAATAAGGGCGAAATATATAAGGCTTTTCCTGGTTTACAATATTTTGAATCGAGATTCACGAATATCTGCAATATTCTGATTTGATGTCTTGAGTAGAGTCCCCTTGATTTGTAGGGATCAAAGTGGTTCTCCCCCACTTCACTACTTTGTAAATTTAAGTAAAATTGTCGTTTGGAATTACAATAGACTCGTCGGATTCCCCTCTTAATGGTTTGACGCGACCTCAATTTGCTGTTTATGTGGGCCTCAGGTTAAACCTGTTCTGTCTCGAGCTCAATTATGCGTACCCTCGTGGCTGTGTGGTCTCTGCTAAGGGTTATTCCTTTTGCGCATAAAATCGTCATCCTCAATACAAGAATTGTTCGTGTGTGCTCCTCAAAAGGAATGTGGATCCTAGATGAAAAAGCTAGAGAAAGCATTTCTATGCAACCCTAGGATTATTTTGCCCCGAAATCTCTTGTTATTTTCGAACCCAAGTTTTGTTGCTATTTGAATTGTTTATTTTTAATTTGGTATTTAGAAAAAAATCGAAATATTTTCCAGATTGATAATTCGATTCGAGACCGTTAAATACCTAAGACTAAACTAAATACAATCAGCACAGTTTTAATAGATGCGCTTTAATGTAAACTTGGTTTTTGAGGAAACAAGCCACTCTAAATTTTATAATTAAATATACCCCTGAATAATCCATACGTGAACCCGTTTAAACTTCTCCATATATCATTAAATGGGCTGAGCTGACAGTCATTACTATGAAGTGGTTACCAATCCCGGATATGCATTCAAAAATGAGGGGACCACTAAATTTACAGATTCTCCGAGGGAAGTAACAATGGTTGACGGAAATACTTGCGCGAGGGACTATCCTTCAATCACATCGATTTGGGTTAGGTCCTATTCAAACGCGCTACAACACACGGTCGCCACTCCCCCAACCTCGCAGTTCCTCACATACACTCCATCATTAAAGATGCAGAAGCGGAGGACAGCTGGTTGTCAGGGCGATTATTTGCGTCCCCAAATGGCTCAAAACCGGGGTCCGTCCATACCGCGGCTCACTGAGTGGTCCATACGCAAAGGTTTCCTCCTCCCATCAGATAAGGCGCCGGATGGAAGGATTTGCCGATCCAGTTACAGATATGAGGAGCCATTGCTACGTCGATTTAGTCGGCCCAAGGAGTGCAGAAAAAGTTCTGAGGGCGGAGGGGGTAAGTACCCCACCAGTGCCTTCCTAATGTGCAAGTCTCCCAACTGTACATGCCCTACGACAGCACCTATCTTTCTTGAAAAGTATGATCAGGATTAAAACCGTTTGCTTCAAGAAGTAATAACTTGTATTTATTTCTGCAGAATCTGGTGTTCTTACAAGATATTACATTTGATGGCGATTTACTGTATAAGTTAATTAATGTATTATCCTTTTTGGGTTCACTTCTTGGATTTCTGAAAACACCTTTCTTGTTTCTGTTTATAGGTTGTATGGAACGGAAAAAAAGCACAGGTGTTAACCATATTTTATTACATCCTCAGATCAATGTCTTAGAGATCAACAAATAGCCTAGATTTAGTTGTGCTGATTATCCAAGAGTCAAAGTCACTATCAGTCTAAACGCAATTTCTTTCGGCAATTTTAGCCAAATTGCTATTGCCCAAAATGCTACTCCATGTCCATGGTACATCTTGATAGGCTGAAGTTAAGAGCATACACTCAAACCGCATCAGTGGTTTAATAACGTTTACTTGTACGCAAAACCAGATAAAGACATCCCTCAAGAGTGTTTGGTTTACGCGTCAATACCTTGATAATCGCCCATGTGGAACTCCCAATACCAAGTTAAATTATTAGTCGCAAGACGACTGCCAAACCCATGTGCCTGACTTAATTTTAAACCACCCAGATCCATTCGTCAAATGTAGTTCTGTGCACCTGGGTTCCCAAAAAAATTGACTGCCACGCAGCACCATTCCATATGAGATTTCGGGGCGTTTAATGATATCCGTTATCCACCAACAGTAGATCCATGCTGAAACGGTCAATCAACACTGGCATCGGAATTCGCTCGAAAATACAGGAGGAGTATGTGGGGGCCAATTCGACTACTGGTGCCTAACGAGTGTGTGAACAGCAGAATAAAGAGGCATGAGAGAATGTCAACACCAACTGCAACCTTAACAGGTTATGGCAGTGATGAAAATAAAAACACAGGAGGAAACAAGGAAATTGGTTTGCAAATCTTCAATGCGGCTTACAGTAGATGCGAGTGAGAATTATTGCGTTTATGTGCGTAAATAAGTTATTAAGATACCAATGATCGCAGTCAAGGGGAAGGGGGTTAGGGAGTGTTATGCAAGTTCCCGGAGAAGGAGAGGAGGAAACTGTTTAGAAAAAAATGAGGATACGGAGAAGGCTGCCATAGCAGAGCATATGGAGAGATCCGGTTGCTGATATGACTGACATCTCAAAAGTAGAGAGTCATCACCTGATCCCGACTCGTGTCTTTTGGACAGTAGGGACATTTAATTTTCCTAAAAATTAACAGTCTTCTACATTTTAACAAAAAAAAACATTCAATTAAATTATGCGGTTAACTCCGATTAAAAACGGGTTCTAAAAGAGTCCCCTGGGGGTCCATTGTTAGTTTAGGTTGAATTCCAGCAAATACGCGTAAAACATTGAAAAAATGAGAAATAAAAATAAAAATCTGAAGTCTATCAATACGAAACGACATCGACCGGAATCCCTAAAAACACAACCAATAGGCAAAAGTAAATCAAAAGTGGGTTGCGTGAAAAAAATGTATAACCGCACTTGGTCTCTACCAACAAATCCAAAACCAAGGATACAAAAGTGTACTAGTACCTTCACTTAAACATAAATAGCTTTAACCATAATGAGTGGTTGAAATGTAATCAGTAAAAATAGCTACACAGGAAAAGCAGTTTCATTTCAGATCAAGTCATTAAATCAATTGGCAAGAAATCAGACAAGCGGTATCATCGGTTTAAATTACCAGTACTTGAACATCTTACACAGATGAATTGTTTTTCTAATAAAACATTTTTAGAATGCTTGAAATAAACTTTGCATCAAAAATCCACAAGTAACTAAAGAAGCTTCGAAAGCAAAGGCAACAGGTGCTAAAAACGGTTGAATGCATGTCTTTTAGCATACTGAAATATTGCGAACGAGACATTAGCAAAACCACTTAAGCATTTCAACGTAACCATGACTGCCAATGAAAATAAGTAGTGCTACAAAATAAATGATAAACTTCAAACCACCAACAGAGTCGAAAGTCTGCACCGATTAAATGCTTCATTGTAGATGAAGATTTCATTTAAAGTACAAATGAATCCCTCAGACCAATAATAAAGCGGATATCATTCTGGTAATAATTGTTTGTTCCGAGTCCAATTGCCCCACCAATTAATTAGACCAGCATGTGTTAGCAGCACAAAGAAGAGGGGAAGCGAAAACATGTTTTGATTTGTGTTACCTTCACCAGCTGTTAATGTAGGCCTTATAACGCAAACACGAGCATCTCTAGCTTACCTGCTCCTAGAAGAGAAATGGGGAAAATTTAGCCAGAGAATCGAACGAAGTTTAGAAGCAAGGGTAGGGAGGGGAAAGACATAAAGGGTTGACTGACCTTCGCTCCGAGTTGGCCAGAGAGTTGAAGGCGTCGCGGGAGATGGCGTGGCCACAGTTTAGGCGGACGGCCGGATTGGCCAGCGTTGAGACCTCTTTGATGACCGGACAGTGGAAGATATTGTGTCGGTGAGCTACAGTGACCAGGTCTACCGAAATCTGGCCAAAGATTAAAAACGAGATTGGGAACAACAAACTAAGCAAAGGGTTTAATCCGCGTTAACAAAGGATATGAAGTAGCGGCAAACGAGGCAAGTGATTATTATGAGAATGTGCAAGTAGTTACAATGGCTAGAATTGGAATCAAGTGAGTTCAAATTTTATCAAATTGAATGGAATTTTATGACAACAAGGTCTGCTTTGCGATTCAACCATTCCCTAAAGAGATCAGTACAAAACTAACTCATCAGATGTATGTCTTTAGCCAATGATGATTGCCCAATCTGTTGCCACAGCTCCATTTGAAACAAACTTATATTTCAACCTCAAATTGGACGACACAACAATCCACTTGGTGGGGAATACCATTAAAATGGAAAGTTATAAGCAATTTAGCAGGGTTCGAACAAAGAATGAGGTCCTAAAAAGTAAAATAAACTCAAAACATCTGCGTCAGGCTAGCCAGGAGTGGTGGAGAATTTGATTGGGTCATGCAATTACTAATTCGAGCGAAAAAAGAAGCGTAGCTACCACTCAAAACATTGGATGGCAATCGAGCTAATCAGAAAATTTGGTGGCTAGAGGGGGTAAGCAGATGGGTAGGAGCAATTGGAATTATCACAAATGAACACACTGAAGTGAACAGGCAAAGTGCAGTAAAAAATTCCAGGAAATCGGTGCAATATTATCAAAGACCAAGCATACTCCTAAAAAATAATGTGGAATTCCAACATTTGTCCCTTTGCTACCAAACTCATTCAACGCGGAAAACAGAAGATCTGAAAGCGAAAGTACTTCTACTTTTATTGAAAGACAAAGTGACCACTTTGGTAAAAATGTAAAAAAATATGCACCACGATTGTTTGTGCGACACTATCTCCACAAATATCCGGTTACAACCAAGCCAATTTGTTGCTGTCGAAAAGAACAGCAATTGGGAGACATAGGGATCGGGGTTCAAACAAGCTGAACAGCAGTTGAAATCAAATCTGCCACTTCGGTTTATTTAAGCGCTAAAAATGAATTCTCACGCGTAAACCCTGTGAAAGCCATTACAGCAATTCGCCTAGAAACGAAGAATTTATGAACGGAATTTGGTGAGGAGCATTCATTTAAAGTACTTCAGCTCAAATGGCCTAAATGATGCCTCTTTACCGACCTTTTGGTTTCAATAGAGAATAAAAGAAAAAACATCCTAAAAATAACTAAATGATAATTCGAGGCGACCAGCGTCGAATTGACTAGAAAACATCTAGTAGGTTCAATTCTTTCAAGAGACTGGCAATTCTCAGTGAAGGTAAGAAACAACGCAGCGGAAACGGGGCCAAAACCCATTAAAAAAAAGTGCCGGATGGGTTACTTTTAAGCTGAAAAAAACTGAAGTGGAATGGTATGGACTAGCAAACCTAATATGGTAGATAAAAGCATAGTAGTATCACGATATCTGATAAAGTGACACTTAAAAACGGCTCCCTGCAGCAAGGAATTTGACAGCGGATTCCGATTTAAAGATGTCACAATATTGGTAGTTGGGTAGTTCAGCCGACAATGATTATGGGGAAAATTAAGGCTGTAATTACATGTGGCGAAATTACGGTAATTCGGCAAATGACTTGTTAAAGGGTGGGGGAATTTGACCCAGTTCAAGCAATAGAGTAGTGCTCAAACAGGAAAGTAAGATGGCTAAAAACTAGACAACAAACTGAAAATTGCGCTATCAGCAGATTCCGAAGCAAAAAATTCACTTAAACTCAAAAGCAGAACAGAGGGCTTTGATACGATGGTTTATCAGTGAACTATCCCGAGGCGTGGTCAGTTCGAGTGAGTGGAGAGACCACCGAATTCATAATGGACGCCGCAGTAACAACAATTAGAGTCCCATTTTTTACAGTTCAGCTTTAAAATTGATTAAATTGTTTAAAGTAGACTTGCTTTATGGCATAAATTTTTTTGAAATGTTGCGGTGTTGATATTTAACTTAAAACACAGTTCCCCATATTCAACCCAAATTACAAATGGGTCTTAACACTCATATCACAAAGAGATAAACATTTTGGTCCAATTCTCTTTATTTCTCCTTTACTTCTGGTCATTTTTATTTCTTATCTTTTGCAGATTGCTTAATATTTCGCAAACAATGAAGGCTTAAATGCTAACTCACCATCTATAATGGAGGTAGATCTTTGTTAACACTAAAAGTTCCTGAACCAGTCCCTTTATCAGCTACATGCACATAATTCGTCAACGCTTTTTCGAGTATGAAAAATAGAAAAAAGCCCAACCAATAGGACTTTTCAAATACGGCAAAGATATCAAACGGAGACCCGATGGTGAAAGCGGGTGTAAGGAGGAGCTTAGAACTTTCGCGACTAAATCATAGTCTCCAGCAGAATTGCGCATGCTTTTACGCATCCTAGGGCCCAAGTGAAAGCCCAAAAGAGGTAAAGCCACTTATGGGCAAATTATTTACACTTACCAAGGATCAGAACGCACGACGTAAAGCCAGAGTGCATGGAAGAATTAAAGGAGTAAAGTTGGCTCACCGGAAGGGTGTGGGTACCATCAGAGTTGCCCGGTGCGTAATTGGTAAGCCACGCGAAGGCACGCTGGAGTTTATGTAGCTTTGGGAGCACTTGTAGGCCCGAGGCGAAGGCGGTCCGTAGTGGATCAATGGAAGAAAGGGAGAGCTTCGCACAGGCCACCGTGCCAAAGAGGTGCGCAGCTCGCACAAAGGCATTCAAGGGGATCGTTGCTACGTCATTCACCGTCCCGTCTCCTGCCACAGTCATCTCCACAGCCGGCTCCTCCTCCGCTTCCTCTTCACCGGCGCAGAGACTCACTAACGGTAGAATAGGTAGGTGGACACCACCGGTGCTAGCGAATTGGCTCTTAACGTTAGCATTGTCGACGGTGGCTGTGGCAGCAGGATCTTTGAGTGAGAGGTCAGAGTAAGGAGTCCCATTGAGATCCTGGCCCAGGAAGACTAGACTACCCATTATGTGCTCGAAGTCTATAAGAATAAAAGGAAAGTAGGTTCTTTTCACAAAGACGATCAATGAAGATTTTGCTGAATTCCCTATAGCTTGTTGGAACAAACTTGTCATCCTAGCTAAAATTACGATTATCAACTGTGCAAAGATATAATTAACAGCGATTACTGAATGTGACATTCTTAAAATAGTGCAAAATCATAAATTTAACTGACGCTAAATTAACTTTGAACGTGGACGTTGTGCATACCCATTTCCCTAATTTTAAAAGTGTTCTAACATAGGTAGCCTTGAAGAAACCTCATCAATTTCTTCGAGTGTCCTGAAGCAAACCTTAAAAACCCATAAATTCTGAACTTAACCATAATCGAGGAACGAACGGAGAAATTATTAAAACCAAGAAACAGATGCAGAAAACGTAAATACTCAAAGCGGAAAAAAATGCACTTGCAAACATGCTTGTGATTTGTGATTAGAAACCGTGAAATAAGTCACAAAAACTTATTTCACTTGCCTTGAGTTAACAAGTTCCTATGCAACATAAAACTAATAGGTTTAAGCGATGAATGCTTAAAAATTTAAATTATGCAAGAAATCGAACAAAAACGGCGAAAAAGAGGCCTCTATGAAAGTTCATTGCTGAGTCCGTATATTTGCGAACGAAATTGTCAGAATTAAAAAAGGGAGTTGCTAGATAATCCCTGGAATGATAATCCGTTTCTTTTGATGCTGCCTAACCAACTCTTCAGGTGATAAGTTTCAGACAGGTGTAAAGCGTGACGCGATTAATTCAGACTGGGTGAATTTAAATCATTTGAGCTAGTTATCGAAAGCAAAAATCACAAAACGTTCCGTACTTTAAAAAACCAAGCAAACTATGATTCTATTGCGGATCAGCCATCACATTAAAATTCTTTAGGGATCATATTAGTCATAATCTAAAAAATCAAAAAAGTGCTAACGATGCATAAGCTTACCTGTGGGAAAATCCGATGCATATGGCACAATTTTGCGCAAACAAGCGATCACTCCAGAAGGATCATCTGCACACCTTTGCACATCCATTAGAAACTCTAACTTGGCCAAAACATATTCTAATTGTTTGGTCTTCGGTCCCAGCGACTCCGAATTAGTTGCCAGCCATCTTAGACGCAACAGAACAAAATTGTTCTCAAAATCATCCCGAGAAAGAGGCTAGAAGCAGCCATAAAACTCACTCTTTAGCAGGACCCAATTCTCCGTTTTTTAGGGCAGCAACCATAGCACCGACTTCTCGGAATTGTTTGAGGCCAATATCCTCCTCCGAAAAACCAACTTCCTGTGCGTGAAAAACAAAGAGGAGCGTCCCGATTTCAGCATGGAAATTTGTGTTTCAGTGTTCGCAAACCCGCTAGTCTTACCTTTGCAAGCTTAATAGCAACAGACCCATAGCCGCTGCGAATGAGCTCCTCAATTATGATGGCAGCGAAGAGCTCGTCCTCAGTCATGTTATCCGCAGTCTTGTAGAGGTTGGAGGCAGGAGCGGGATCGAAGGTGGCATTGCTTGTTGGAACATTAGAAGTGTCCGTAGTGAAGTAGGAAGCCACGTTAGAGACATCATCGACGAATGTCTAGGAAGCCGGGGACCAGGAAAGAAAGAAACGTACCTTATCAATGGATTTTTTGAACTTTGAAATGCAGGCATGAATGTCTCGGTGCTTTTTCAGAGCATCGGAGAAGTTTGACTTGACATTTGATAGCAGAGAACATATTTTAACCTTTATCTCCGGTGAAAGGCAGGAACCTAGGAGCAAACCAGGAAAACCACCCTATTGTAACAACAGTAAGGACTAAAAATGGTAGCCTAGACATTCCTTGTACGAATTACCACTTAGCAAGCAACACTTTGAAATCAGGATTGGTATCGTTGAGTCATAAGCACAAAAACTCGAATGATTAAACTATCGACTTTAGCCAAACCATCAAAAAATACCAATATAAAGACATAAAACTAAGAAACATGAGCTATTTTTGGGTTGGCCAGCAAAACTAGTAGAAAATAATTCCGTTATCGAGCAGGCCCCTGGTAAACAAACCGGAGTTTCCACTTTGGATCTCAATAATGAGGTTCGACAAAGAGTCCAAGTACTTTTCAGCTTTCAATTCATATATGTTTTTGAAGCCGGCCAATCCCTTTTCAACTTTGTCAACCTCGTTTGACAAGGCCTCCAGCTTTTCCCTAATGCCGGATTCATCCCCGGAGGTCATTGATTACAAGTTGCGCGGCGTCAAAAAGGTCAATCAAAAACAAAAATAATGGAGTCCAGATACATAAACCATAGTTAAACTTTTAAGAAAATCATGCAAAATAATTTTTTAATAATTTTTTTAACTAGGCAAGAAAACATGTCGTAACATCTTGTCTCCTGCGTTCCAGCCTGTTCTGAAGTGGTAACAAGCTGAGGTACACTGGATGAAAATATGCAACAGATTTCTTGTCGCTTTTTCCGCCTCAGCTTTTAATCACATAAAATTGGAAGAGCAACTGCGCACAAGCATTTCCTATCCGAGTAGCATGATGAATTATATCACCTTATTAGGTTTTAAGGAAATCAAGACTTCGTGTCCTTCTCAGGGGCTAATGGTGTCCTCTTATTGACGTGGTTATCGTAAACTGGTCGCTGACGCATAAGAGGTGTGTTCAAATAAACATGTGCTTCACATATATTAATAAGGAACAGGGGGTTGAGGAATTACCGATGCGTCACCTCCTGTCTTCTCTAAAGTCATAAAAAGTCACGATGGTAAAGTAGACGTATTACTGACGTGTAGATAAGCTGAGGCTATTGGCATGGTCCTGTGGCCCTACCTCTGAGCAGAAGTGCTATCCGCAGAAACCCAAATTTCTGCGTAATCAAACAGAGTTAAACAAACAATTAAACTTACGAGTGACATGGCCCGGAAACCGCGCTGTGGAGCAGAGATACAACTCTGGGAAAAAGTAGGTGCTTACGTAGCACAAAACGCAGTTTTGCGAGTGTGTAATTGCAAAGATTTGAAAAGCATGTTTTGAAGTTTATAAAACACAAATGCAAAATACCCTATGCATACAAGCACAGTAACAGATCACATAACTCTCATGCCCAGTAATGCTGTTGCTCTGTTCTTGTGGTAAAAGGACTGATAAGCAAACTCGGGTGAGTACATGTGCTACATGAATCCTGCCCCATACCTATTTCATCGCTGATTTTTCCACATGTATAACTTGTAGATTACTTGGAATTCTATTAGTTTACCTCCTTATCTTATGTGTAGATGACATTTGGGATGATAAATGGGCATTCAGCATTTTTACCAAGACTCCCTCGAGGACCAGTCTTGGTCGACTAAAGCGCAACACTTTATGGTTCCAGAATTCGTAGGGTTTCTTCGCCTTTTTATTCCCAACTGAATTTTGTATAGCCCAATTAGCTGTGTTATGAATTGTCAAGGAGTAGGGTTTTTTATGTAAAATATGCGAAATAAGATAATTTTCGAGAAGACTGTTAGAAAATTAAACAATATGGTGCAGACATGTAGTATTCAACCCGTATACTACAATTGGTAACAAAAAAAATTTCGATAGGCGGCACAATTTTTATTTAACAAACTGGAAGTCAAGTAAAACCGCTTCTGCTTGAACAGCATCCCACCCACATTGAGATTATGGCTATTTATCGGACTTTTTATTTCCGATTAAATCAGTTTAAGAAAGAACAAAAAGTACGGAATCCGAATGTAACGTGGAGCAGACTTGATCCAAAAATAACAACAAATTGGATTGTTGTTTTATATTTAATTACTCATCTTAATAATTTTATTATTAATTTTATAACGGGTTGGACTTTCAAATCCTGAGAGATCGCTCTGATGTGCAAGTAGAATCAAAACTAAGAAAACGTATTTTCCATAGTTTTCAGTCACTTTGGTGTGAAAGTAATTTCACTTCCATAAAAAAAATATTTGCAGCATCACTATTTATTATAAAATCCAGTCAGTTTAACTAAATATGCCAAAAGGAAGGAGCGAAAAGCCTGTAAATAAAACACTTTTGGGGAACTTTTGATCAAATTCCACTAAGCATAATCGCGGACCTCACTCACATAGCGACGACACTATCTCGATATCCCCTTAACTAACTATTTGCTGCTCATGACAGCAAACAAGCAAGAAATTTGGTAAACTAACATCCTACTACACTTTGTTAAATTATTTATCCTCCCTTTTCCGTTACGCTTTTCATCACATCAAAACCGGCGTTAAACTTAGTCAGGTGAGGCCTCTTTATAAATGTGAAGTGTTTTTTTCTCGTTTTCTCGTATTTTAACTTTGTAAGTTAAAACATGAGGTGAATTGGATAGTACAAAACCGGAAGTACTTCAAGGCAGCTAACAGGTACCGTTCATTGCGAAGTGATTGCAAATTGTCTAACATACGAAAAAAGAGCTAACTACATCTTAGGGCAAATAAATATGCTCGGAACATTTAGGCAAATCATCTAAAAATATGTGGAAGCAGCAATCGGAATGCATAACAATTGGTTTTGTTATTATGTACGAAAGCCACTGTGACGCACCCGCATTTCCACCCTTGAACAGATCATTTAAAGCAACACTGGATGCATCTTGCGGAGAGGCGATAATGCCCTACTATTTAGTCGTGATTTTCTAGAGCCAAAGTAATTGTGTGCGCTCAAAAGTGGCAACAGATTCCAATTATGTGCAGAATTTACGAAAGTGTTCAACAAATTTTACAAACCAAAGATTACATATTAGCAACCATGAGTAAAGACTTGTCTGGATTTACATTCCGTCTATAGATATAAGTAGAGATTGACCAACAGTTTGAAGTGTTTCTTATACCGCTTAGAGTTTAGGAAAAGCAGATTTTGCTGGATAAATTCCTGCGCAGCTGGGTCGGCGAAAGTACACCCCTGAAATTGTAGTGTATATCTTGATAAACTGAGCTAGCACCTTTTGGTCAGATCAGAGCATTTTGATTGAAGACTATGATACTGGATTAGGTGAGATTATTCAGATACACTATTTCTTCGCAGCTTAAGTTACACAAGCAAGAAAATAATGATATTAGTTTCTGAGTAATTGCATTTTCATCGGGAGCTAAAAATTGTTAAGAGGATGCGATTGAAGCTAAAATGACTCTGCTACCCTAAATTGTGCCCTTGACTACTTGAGCAAAATGCAGAGAAAATGGCAAAATGGATGTTCAAGATCCCTCCCACAGGGGAAGGGGCATAACAATTATGAAAGTATTTAGTCAGAAAGGGGTGTCCAAAGGTCTCTTTCTAGAACCAGACGTTTAATTCCATCAAAACTGGTCAAGCCTTCAGCAAATTTTCGAAATCTATTAAAGAGGTATGATCTCCCTAATAAAACAGTCATAGTGAAGAAATATGGTTATTCATTACGTAGTGAAATCTTGAAGTACACTACATTTTAGGAAATAAAAAGGCCCGTTTCTGTTTACCTCCATGGAGGACCATTGTATTTGTCAAGGATGTGTTAATAAAGACACGATTTTATAGTGGGGGCCAAAACAACTTGTTTAATGGTTTTGATCATAAAATAATGAAAGAAAAGGGCAGGAATCCATCTGGGAAAAGTAATGAGTTGAAAATATCCAAGCATTTTCACTGACAATGTACATAATTTAGGTCTGCAGCTAACTATGCTTGAATTTTCTAGCATTGCACCACTTCAAAACAAATTGGAAGGAAAATAGAGAACCTGGACAAATCAGAAAAAAAAATCCTAGGATGTGACAAATGAAAACTTCCTTGGTCAATGTGATCAAACTGGTTCTCATTAATTGGTTTTGTGGTCAAAATATTTTCTAAAGTAATAAACTGCAAAATCGTATGCGATATTGAGTGACTGTAATATTCCACACAAAAAGTCGTTGAATCGAAGAATTTCACTTGGGGATAGTGATAGCCTTCACTGAGCACGGTCGAACATTCGTAATATCTGCCCTTCATGTTAGGTATCAGAAATTCTATCAGTCTGAAATGAATTTCGATGCCGTTTTCAACTTGCCTAACGCTTTGTATGTTCCCTGATTTTTACCACCTCGATGGTCCCCTATTTCATCCATGTCATTTATGAGATCAATGCCTTCTCTTACTTTCATCTGCTTCTACTTAAGGAGCGCCTTACATTGGGTCCCGTAGCGAGTGAATACATCTGAAAAGTAAAGTGCGTAGTTACAATCAACCTATTAAGACACCTCGCGGAAGTCAAATAAGTAAACAATTGCTGCAAAAGCACGAAAAAGGCTTGTCATGCTTTGCAGTCAGGAGGATTTAGTGCGAAATTGCACTTTTTTGAGTTGCTGGCAATATTTTTACAAGACAAATTCATTAATTGTTCATGAATCAAGTGTTTTAAGGGCTTTCTAAAAGTTACTGCATCCTTTAATTGTTTTTTTCTCTTACAAACCCGATAAAATGCAACTTTTTGCTTTTTTAAGCATTTTTACTGAAAAAGCTGTAGCCCGGCATAACTTGAGAAGTTGGACAGTTAGGAATTATCACAAAGGAATTTACATTTCTAAACTCGCTAGCGTGTCGAGTTAAGCTTAACTCAAATTGCAATTTTCTAAAAGGCTAGAGCTACTTCTTTTAAACTTTGTAATTTCGTTTGTATCTTTGGAAAAACTTCGTTGTTCGTTAAGCCAAAACTCTTTCCCTAAAAGTCCTTTGTCTATTGCGGTAGTCATTTTGGCCCTACAATCCTAAACAAGAGCTAATACACAGTTATGCAAGAAAACCCGAAATTTGGCTAACTACATTAGAACCACAATTCAATCGAATGTTGACTGAAAACCAATTTCTCTTGGGATTATCAAGTCAATAAAATATTCTCTCACTTAGTAATCAAGTGCAAGAAAGCGACCTTCAGTTGGATACTTACTGGAAAAATCAACACAATTCCTTAACTTTGAGGTGGAAATTTACCCAAGTGCAATCATGGCTTAAGGTGATTAAGCAATCACTGTGTACGCATTTTACTAATCCTTTCAGAGGTAAACCAACTTATTAATATGAGTAGATATGTAAAACACATCCCATTTAATGCAAATCATACTGAAATACCAACATAAGGGAACTTACTTAAATCGGGACAAATCTGTGGAAATCTTGTTTTAATGAGCACTTTGTGCGTAATCATAGGAGACAGTGAATTTGAGATGCATGACGCTTAAACAAATTCACACACTGAAAAGGTGCGCAACCTTGTTTCGTTTTCCCCTAATTCTAAAGCTTATGATCGCACCGAATTAATTATTTGGACTTTGTAGTGAAGGTGGGTTGGAGTTCTGCAGAAAGGGTTTATGAGGGTTTGAATATTTAAAGGGACAGATTTTGTTCTACTGAAAAGAATAAGCAGTGTTTTGCTAGGTAAATGATTTTGAAACACTGGTAATCACCATTACCTCTCCGAATTTCCCAAAAATTCAAATAGGACAGCGTCAAGAAGGTGGATAAAACGCAGTAACATTGGCGGAATATTTGTAAATGGATGCTCCTAATGATTCATGCTACTCATTTATTATGGCAGAAATACCATCGACTTAAACAAATTATCATCATTTTCCAAAAATACAAACTGTGAGTAAGCTTCCACAAACCTTAAGCTGAATCCTTTACATAGTAGGCGACTCAGACGCACTTTTAATACTGCATCCCATTGATACGCTAAGGTGGAAATCCTAATCACATGCCAAGATTCTCAGTATGACAATAATGGCCTCGAAATGTCGTGAGCTCAAGGTTAGGTCACGCTTGTCGAATATAATAGATATTCACATGACTGGTGCACAGAAGAGCATCGGCCACGTAAAAAGTCGTTCGACGTCAGGATTATACCGCTGTAAGGTTTCAAGTAGTAATATTGTCCTTAAACAACAGAAAATGGCTTACGCCTTTTTTAAGTATTATTATACCTTTCAAATACTTATTCGTTACTGAAGGCTCATTTAAAGAGTCTACATTTAAGGATAAATGTTGTACGACTTCCAAGCCGCTAGCGAAGTTCATGAATAAAATATCTTGTACAATTGGAAATTTTAAGTTGAAAAGTAGTCTCTAGGCACGTTCTTCTTTTACTATTTCTATCAACCCCGTTTAATTTAAACCAAATGAGATTATGGTTGAATTAGTATTGCGTATGTGTTTGAAAATAATTTAAGAAAATAAATAAATGTAATAAGAGGTCAGCTGGGCTACCATTAATAGCCCACTTTATTTAAAACGCACAGTAAAAGCAAATGAGACAGTAAAAACTACCTACAACGCTGTTAACAAGACGCCTATATTCGATGTTATGTAATAGAATTACCCAAAACGTCCTCAGCTGAGACACTCTAATTGTCAAATTTCATCAGCACCATATTGTTAAGACAGATAGGTGGGAACACATCTACCATGAATTTGGAAAAAAAATTACGAACAGAACACTCTTTACAATTCTGGTAAGTCTGCTGTCTTTCATTGACATCTTGGAAATAATGTAAACAAAATTAACGTTCAACCAAATTCAACCTCTTTTTAAATAGAGATTGTGATATTTCTTCCCTTGCAGTATGTGCAAAGCAACTGCCATAAGGATGCAGATTCCTGACAAACTCAAAAGAAAATTGCTTGTCATGGCAAAGGAGACGAATTGAAATTCAGTACACGGAAAACAAGCCTGTTGTTTCATACTGATTTACTAGGAAGTTTTAAGTATTTTTGCGCATTATTAGGACCACTGCATCGTAATTTTGACTTTTTAAGATCAACCGCTCAAAAAAGCATACACAATCTGTTTGATCCGAATCGCAGGGAAGGCATCCAATAATCTTGAGCACAGCTTGATTTTGTACTAAGTAAAGACCTCAAGTCGAAGAGCTTAAGTTGCCTCACTTGTTGTTTAATTAACTGTAAAACCTAAAGTTAACCTAGACATTGAGTTCGTTTGATGATGCGTTCGGAACAGTTTTAACGTGAACTTTGTCTCCAAGGCATACGATTGTTTCAGCTACTGCCTTTTAAACAAAATATAACCTAGTTTTCGTTTTTTGTTGACAAAGGCTGTTAAAATCCCTGCGCTCATAGCGAAGCTCTTATAATTTCCGCTTCCTTGCTAAAAATAATTTTGTTTGATTAATCTGCAGTTTGTGGCTCAAATTTGATGTCCACCCGTTACCAGGTATTCCATTGACACATAGATCGGACAAATGGTTTCTCCCACCAACTTCAACCCGAACGTTAGGTTACTTTAAGAAATTTACTTTTTAGGCATTCTTTTTGGTTCGTCGGATTTCTGGGCTGCAGTTATTAAAACCATATCAGAAGTAGCAATTGACCAAGCTCGAGAAGTGGAAGAATGCGGTTGGGAGTACCATAACCACGAGAATCCTTTCATCAGGTTTATTCAAGGAGGCAATGGATTTGTCCTTATTTTTAATGGAACTTAAATATTTTTTGGTTCTCTACAACCAATTGAGGAGTAAGCTGCTTTTGGCGGGAAGAGGTTATTTTGCCAGCACATAAAACGAGGACGCAACTTATAATACCTGTTAGTGGTGAAAAAGCCAACTTTTTTCCACCAGTTATTGTATTTCAAAATAATCTTTATTTCGAAATCCTAGTTTCGTGAAGTTTTTTGGAATTTGCTCTGGGTAGAGAATACCGACGCCTTAAAGAGACCCATAAAGTGGATACCCGTGCCAGCAGTCAAGCTTAGCTAGTTCTTGTAGTTCATTAATAAGTGTAGAGGGCAATTATTTTTAAGACTCAGTGGCAGCATGGGATAGTCGTTTCTCAGTAACAGAATGCTGAAGGCATTTGGGTGCTAATTCACGTTTATTGTTGTTTAGGGTGAACCGTTGTCTGCAAAAAAATTCGAAAATGCCTACAAAACTATCATTAAACAATCTAAAGAAATTAAGGAATCCCTAGAAAGGTAGAGGAAATAAAATTACGCCTTATGGCTAACTGGTTCTTTCGATTATACCAGAATTCAATTTTTTATTAAGTTAATTGGAAGATGCATTTCCGACTTAACTATTTGATGTACCGCGAGTCTCACGATTTGACTAAGCTCTAGGGGCAAGGACGGAAACTTCTCCCAAAGAGGAGTTAGTCTTTAACCGTTTCACGATGTGCAAGAAATCTTGTGAATTTAGCGTTCAGATGTGAAACCAAAAACTGGGATGAGTACCTCGAAGTTTGTCCAAATCATGTTAAGCATGAAAAATTTATAATTTTTTGGTTTTAAAAGTTTTAAGTCCGTCTTGACTAGCTGGTTGTCAACGAATAATTAAACGTCAATCATTTTGTGCATCGCTTGGCATGTTCTGCAAAAAAATTATATATTTTTTTGTATATAGAGACCTTTATCTGATAAGGTTCATTTGCTTAATCGCTAATGCTAACCAAAAAACCTCATGCAATAAGCTCTATTTGTCCTTCTACTAGAATGACATTGTAGATTACAGAAGTTCACTTATTTTTTACCTGAGGTTTCCCCTCTGACCCCCATCTTGAGTAAACTGCATGCATAAGCGCAGATTGACATGAGACGTAGAGGCACAAAAACAATGATTAAACACTTTTTGATGACAAGAAAAACCTTGACAACAATGCAGTCACAAAAGACGAGAATACTTCAACAAATTTAAAGCACTATAAACACTTGTCATTGCGTATTACAATTTTAATAGCTGTTCTCGTGGGTATGTATTTTGTGTAACTCTCTACAAGCTGTTACCACATGGTTCCCAATCCTTCACCGTAATGCATTTTGACCAAATTAATCTAACTATAGTAGCTAGTCTCAAAATTTTGTTTATTTTCGAACAAAAGCCAAGAGATCTGTCAAATCTTTGACAAATTGCAAAAAAAGACCACTTGAGTTAATCATTTCCCAACTTGTACACTAAAACCAGACAAAAACAGTCAAAAACTGCTAATGGTGACAATTAAGCGAATATATGAGATATATGCTCAACTAGGGTCTCATTAAATGATGCACAAACATTAATAAACCACTTTAAATTAACATATTTAAAAATTTTTTGTCTGATGTGGTCACAACCAGGAAAAGGGTAATGCTAGGGGAATTATATCTGATTTTCTTTCGGCTTCAGTGTTGATCATAACTACTACGATGACTTTCGAAAAAGGGGTTCACATCTGACTTCTTCATTCCGGCCAAACCCATTAATAAACCAATTCCTGGTTTTATCCAATCGGATTGCTGTCTCTCCGCCATTGGCCATTCCTAGGCTTTCATATTTGTACATCATAGATGCTCTGAGATAAGTAGGCCGTATTAGCGTTTTCCCAGTCCAATTGCAGAAATCCAGGGAACGCCTAAATGAACGTTTACTAAAACCTCTTTAAAGATGTCATATTTTCCACAAAGGAGTGCAAAAGACGAATCCAACCTACTTAGAAGCAAAGAAGTTGGTTCGTCTCTTGCTGTTGACATTCTTCGCGGACGCAATTCCAGCCAGGCACATTACACCATCGGTTGCTTGACGGGACCTACAGGTGTAGAGCTGAGAAAACATTTAAATCCGATTGCTTTAACTCCAGTACATTCCCAAGCAGTTGCCAGTGAAGAAAGCATTGGAAGTGAAACTGCGTTAAATTCATTTATCTTGAAACAAGAGAGTCCGATTCGGCCTAGACTGCCTCCTCTGCCAATGCCACCTTTGCAAACTGGATGTGGACCTCTTCCTGGTATCTACGAAGATATATTCCCGTCGCATAGTTATCAGCGACGTCCAAGTAATATGGGTTGGAATGGAGCAGGTGGTGATGGCTGGCGATTCGAAACCAGCACGCTTTATGAAAACCCCATCAATTGCCTTCCCACCGCGGGCACATCACCGACAGAAGAAATGAAAAAACTGAAAGGGACACCGGATAGAAATGGATCGATGAACAGTGTGGCGGATTCAATCTTTAAAGGCGTTAGTCACTAATTTCTAACACCTTTTAAAAATTGCTAGGGAAGAGTATTTTAAATGACTTTTGATGTGACTAAATTTTCTCATTTGTTTTAATATTCAACCTGAGGTTCATTTGTTCGTTCGTTTCATTTTGCTTAAGTTATTAATTCGTTGGGCAAAATTATAAAAACGGCGGTGAATGTTTCTAAAAAGTGGCCCAAGCTTCGGCAAGAAGAAGTTGCTAAATTTAATTATCCATCTTCAGTCACTTTTAGGAAAGAAAAATATGGATGAAAATAAAATCAAGTGCATTTCTTGTTGCCAACTGTCAGTTAATTATCGTGGGGTTTTTAGCACACCCATCTAAACGGTATTACCAGGTGATGTCAAACTAGAATTCTTCTATTAAATTTGTCATAACAACAATAAAGGCGAATAATAGCCAAAAGATGGTTAACCTGTTTGTCCGTTGAGCAGTAAAGTAAGAACAGCGCTGGTAAATGATAACTTATTTGCCTCAAACGATTCCCCTTCAATATAGCAAGGTCGAAGTGTAGTTGTGCTTTTTGTAAAGCGCACACGAGTGCACCTCTACTTTACTATGTGTACTTCGCACTACAAAATGGCTTGTCTACTCCTAACTTTAGTATGAATATTTTTTGTGCACATAAGTTGTTTCAGGTAGTGTCTTTTTTCTTAGTGTGGTCACTAAAATAGTGAGAATTTAACCCTGTTCCTTCGCGTACTCGTTTTTACTTCATTGTAGTTACTACAGTAAAAATCTTCACCAGCAACTTGTTTCTAGTATTTTTAGAGAAATTTATATTTTCGGATGAACCATCTATTCAAAGAGAAGCCCAATTCATACCCGTTTTGAATAATGAACCACGCAGGTTTTGGTATGTTTGAACGCCTGATTGTGAGATCAAAAGGACCTCAAAGGCATCACCAAGACAAAAATAAAGCAAAGCATAGAGCTACCGGCTGTAAGGAGAGTTTAGTGTAGAATTGGCCTTAGTAAATAGTGGTCTTAATCACAATATACATAAATGTTGATTGGATTAGCTTTTTCTAACAATATTTTCACATTGACGCGACTTATCTCGGAAAATAACTCAAAGTGGAGGGAGTCTCTTATGAGACATTCCCATGTTCTAAATTATTTTTATGCTCTATTAGCGCATGTCTTTTGTCAAGGGTTGTGCTTTACTTATTTCGGAGCTAGCCTTGTTTAATTTTTTGAAGATAATTCACAAAATTCGTAAAGGTGGTCTGGACGTTAATGGGAAGTGATGCCGTATGGTGTCGAGCAGCTTTAACCAGAAACAAAGCAACATTCATTAAACAGAGCAAAGGCAAATTTTAGTGGAAAATACAAACAATCTCTCTTCTTCAGAAAACTGACACAAGTGCAGTTTATTTCAAAAACTACGTTAATTTAAATATGCTAAAAAGGCATTTTTCAAATATGTTTTTATGTTCTTATTGAAAATTGCGATATTTGCAAGGCTATTGGCCTACTCTATTTGACTTATAAAAAACTATTTAGCAAGTCACTTAAAGGGGCCATTTATTCCAGGTGGAAGTTGCGTGCAGAAAGGCTTTCTGCAGTTCCTGCAGATGAGAGTTATTTGAAATTGATTTCTTAAAAGCAGCTGTCCCCATACATTTTAACTGGAAACAGAAGCAACCAAAAGTGAATGTCATTTTTACCCAAATTTCATTTATGTGTACAAAATTGTATCGTTTCCTTGAAGCAAGATTATATATACACATAGCCTGAGTAAAAGCAGATGAGAGCTCACCAGACTTATGCCAAATTCAAGTTGATTAATTCAAAAACGAACTTAATTAAACTTAACACCACCTACACCCATCAGGACGTGAATTTTTCCTATTTTAAGGCAAAAAAATTAACCCGATCTTTTATGGGGACTTGTATCACCAAGTTGCGCATGTCTCACTGCTGATCAGGCAGCTATGTGCCCTCATTTGAGATTGCAGTTCAAATTTTAAAAATGCTCGGTTTCGCACTATTTTCTTCAGAATTTTGAAAAAGCTCTGACCTTACGAGTGGCCCTTCCGACGAGGGCTTCCATTTCGGCTGATGAAGAAACGTATAACTCTCATCGTCGCTTACATCACCCACTTACCAACTCATCAAGTCTCAAACCACACCGTCAACGTTCACCATGGAAGAGTTTTATGAAGGAGTCTACAGTTCCCGACGTTCCCGTCGATCCTCTGGATACATCCGTTAAAATAAGTGGTCTTCGGCGCTCTGGTAGAGTGAAGATTCTCTCGCCAAATCATCGTCGCATATCTCTGGAAAAATCTGTCACGTGGAAGGACCATAAACACCAAACTCATCAACAGCATCACCATCAGCAAATGGCTGGAAGAGGGGCAGAAAGACAGGCTTCCTCGAAGGGATTTTCACTGGATTTACAGGCTTCGCAAATGGATGAGTTGGTGTCGGTATTGTCGGATCTCTGCAACACTCTGGAACACTCTTCCATTCTTATGTCTTCGTTGAAACGAGAGACATCGCCGGAAACCTGGACATCAGGCGCTGTGCTAGCGCAAGTAAGACGAAAAAGTGGCGAGAATGGACGCGAATTAAAGCACCTTGCCATCCGTAAGGAAAAGGTATGAAATTTCTATGATTTTAGAAGTACTTTTCTAGCACCAGTTAAAGGGGTAACAGTTAAATCATTAATGTGAAAACTTTTAGCTTGACTATTTAAAATTAATAACTGCATGTTTTTTCCGGATTTATTCAACTATTTGTAAACAAAAACAGGAAACTATCTTTGTTTACCAAAAACAAAGTGTCTGAATAGGCAACATGTCATTTGTAAGTAAATTACTACAAGGTTAGGCAAAAGGTTTGGTGAAATAGTTGGGATTGTGTTTAAACATCATGACTTGTCTGGTTGTGGAAGACGATTAACACCTTATATGATTGATGAATCTGAATTAAGCTAGCTGTTTGATCCGTTTTCCTCCATTTACAGTGTCAACTAATTCACTTCCCAGTTAATGATAATCAGTATTTTGTCGACACAACTAAATGCCTTGTCGACTTTGAAAACCATACAAACATGAACCTATCGCTATTGAATAGTGGCGACAAAAAACCATGTAATATAGCTTAATTATTCCCCGAGGGCGTGCGCTGAAGTTTTACAAAGAACTGGAAAGTTTGCTATTAAGTGAATCTATCTTACGGTACAATAATGTTACTTACAAACATCCAAATTTCCAGGATAAATGGAATTCGCCCTTTTGAACCGAACTTTAAATTGTAATTTTAACTCCGTAAGTGAACAGTTAAAGACATCTGTAAGCGTTTTATAGGTGGGAAAAGATACTTCACTGTGTTCGGCTCAGTTGTCTAGACAGAAAGAAAGTAAATTTATACATTATAATGGCATCCATTAAAAAAAAATAATTAATGCAAAATATCACCCCAAACTAACAACGATATTATTTGCAGTCTTCAAAGCCAGATTAAATATTTTAGTGAATTGTAAAGCTCACCTCTTGTGGATGAGTTCTTAAGATATTGTACATAAACATTAGCACGGCTTTAATGACAAATGGAAGTTGAATGCACTCCCACAAATTTAAAATATATCATAAATTGGCTTCTGACTATTTTTTAAAAGCCAGACAACTGGAAGTGTGGGTCCTAAATATTTTTAAGTCGGACTGTCTTATTGTCGGCTAAATTATGTCATGCTCTCGCTAAGTACAAATAATTACTGGATATTCTTTTCATTTTCTTTCAAAAGGTTGTCGTAGAGGTGCAAGTAGTTTTCCTAAAAATAGGAGAAATCGATACTCTAAAAGAATTCTATCAGGCAGATGCCTTCTTGCAGGCCAAATGGCATGAACCGCGATTAGATGGAAAGTTGCCAGAGGTAAGATCTTAATCTTATCTTACATATCTCCTATAAAAGTAAAATCGATAAAATAAGTACCTTTAGCTCCACTTATATTCCTCATGCCATTAAAGACGGATCATTTCTTTGGTAAGCATCAGCAGAATTAACTTTGCTTATTTAATTTGATTTTCACAAATTTGCAAACTATTTTCGACTTGAAAATATTTTCCAGAGGAAGTCCAAAACTTTTCAAAACCTATGAAGCGTGTGTCCAGTCTGATATGTGCAATGCATAGATAGTTGGTTTAACTTGGCGTTGTATACGCAGGCAATTAAGTCCTTGCAGATTACACTTCCGTTCAATGGCATGGCCTCTGAAATATGTCAGTGGCCTCTCAACCCCTCTATACGTTGGTAAAATAGTTTGTCGCACTACCGTGACTACTTATAACTTCAGGAAAGACTCGGGTGGCTAAATATATCTGCATCGGTAATCATTTAAAGTATTTCTTGTTTTACTTCTTCACAAGAAACCGTTGCTAACACTTGTCTTCCAACATTTTTCATACCAGAAAGGTCGGTAATTTCGAAAATAATAAATGAATGTACCTCATTAGACACAACAATACTCCACTAATTGAAGAGCATAAAGTTAACATTAGGACATGCTCATTTCCATCCAAATGGAGTGCTTTCTGCATCTGCTAAAATTCCCGGCAATAAATAGTGCGCTTTTGATTGAAAAGAACCTTCCTCGTGACAGCTACTGCTAGGAACGGGAACACGTGTTTGTTCGTTTAGGGGTCATGTTCGTTCTCCTAATAAATATTAATCTTATTTTCATATGTTTTAGTAAAATTGATTTCTGTAAAATACAAACATCTAGCAATCTATGCTGAAAGATTGTCATTTGTGTATGGAAACAAAGTCGTTATTATAGCCTCTTTTAGCAACACACTTTGTAGGCAAACTTACTACGGTACAGTAAATATCACAGACACTTCCCATGATACGCCAATCTTTGCCCTTCCAAAGGTAACTATCGGAAGTGGGTGAATTAGTCCAACGGTTGTTACCGTCGGCTCTTCATGTGACTAACAAACTGCATCCGGTCAGCAAAAGGCTAATTCTGGTTTTCTGTTACTATAGCAAAACCCATTCAGTTTAGAAATTCATTTTGGCAGAAGATTAGGAATAAAAAATACAAAAACAACCTCTAGCACCCATATGTAACACGGGATAAAGTAAAGCTAAGTCAACCTTGGCTAGTAGGTTAATACTTTTTGTGGAAGGGTCATTCTTTGTTAGCTAAATATTATTGTAAACTAATTCACTTTACGTCCACCTCAACAAATAAACATTAACTATTTGGGATTGAACCCATTCCTTCTAGTTTATTTATTGCATGGCTGGAGTTGAGTAAAATGCTGGAGAACCTCATGTATGTTGCAAAAATATTTTGAATTGTGGGTGAAGAGTTACTAATAACTTCAATAACGGAAATCCGGGTTTCCGATAACCAATTTCCAGACAGGAATATGCGAATAACTCCTAAATTACCAGCATTTTGCAACGTTGCCAAAAAAGGGATTCGTTTCTCAAAGTTCTTCCGCTTTTGCCTGTACAGCTTTTGCCACTTTATTAGTTTAATTTCAAGTAAAGACACATTTATATAGTGTTCATTTTGGCTTTTTTGTAACCTTAATGTCCATTACCAAAATCAGCTCAGTTGCCAGTAAGACAATATGGAATCTAGCTTAACGTCGAACTTAAAATCTCCCGTTTTTTACTATTAATGGGTCTTTTGCGTGTTACCTTAGAGACGAGCATTTCTAAAGACGAGTCTATTAACATTCTTTTTAGGTATACTTAAACTCAAGTACTAGCTGCTCCAGTGCTGAACATTATCACTTGCTGCCTCCAAATTGGCATTGCAAATTATGGCTAAAATATTGCTTCAAGAAGGAGGGTTGAGGCTTCAAACATTTTAGCCTACTCGTCGTTCATGCTCCTTTAATACTCCATATACGTAATGGTACATGAATATTGCTTTGTAAATTCATTCCATCACTAATAATGTGAGATTTTATTTGGAGCCATCCAGTAACATTTAACATCTGGAATTCCAAAAAAAGTGCTTAACTCTTGATTCCAGGTTTAAAGTCTCCCTTTCATAAATTTTAGAGATCTAAGAGACGTACTTCTTATTACATAAATGTGGTCATTTATTTTTTTGAGTTTTTTTTGGTGCTTATTCAGTTTTTTGGATAATATTACTCTTTGCAGGAATTAGGAACGATTGATTTAGAGAGGTATTGGAATCCACTTTGTTACATTGACAATATTCTGTCGGAAACGAAGGAAGTTCAATGGCTCTCCACATCGATCGGACAAAACGGTGAGGTCTACATTGTCGAGCGTCGTCGCATAAAGGGTGTCTTTTTGGAGACGCTTGAATTGAATGATTTTCCACTTGATGTTCAGGTAGTTACCCATTTTTGCTCCTATGGTTTAATTTGCACATTTGGTTTTAGTGCGTAGTAGAGCGACTTTCTGAAGCGTTAACGTTAACTCCATCAAATAAGCGCTAAAGTAGGGCAAGTTGTTCTGCGCCAACAATATTTTGTATCCTTTTGCAATAAAAGCATTTACGTCTCCTCTCTATTGTTTGTACACTTTTATTGTGGACAGACCTTTAAAACGGGTCGTAACGGGTAAAACATTATATCTCAATTGGGTTTTGCCGCGTCGTGACGGGACCGAAATGGGGCAAAATAGCTTTATTTGTCTCCTTTATAATATAAATCCCATGACTGCCTGGCAACAAAAGACAAATAAGTAACTAATTATCACTCATTGCTACCCGCTCTTATTTATTTATTTAGTTAAGCTGACAACAGACTCAAATGACGCGGAATAGGTCATCAAGCTAAAGCGAATTAATGGCCGAGTTCGTACGGAAAAGTTATGTGCGTGCAACGCATCTAAATAAGCGTTTTATGGAATTATTGTTATGAATAACACTTCCGACTTCAATTTTGCACTGTTAGGTATTGTTTGAATAAAAAAAATTCAACCTTACCACAAGGCTCCGATTATCATGCTTTACCTGAAATCCACTTCTGCAGAGTCATACTTATTTCTTACACCAAAAGTTTTACAGTTATCGATGGTTTAGTGCTGTTAAAAGGACAATGCCTTGTTTGTATGCAATAAAAATAGCCTTATTGCCTTCAGCAAGTTCGTGCCAGGCACAAAGTTGAGTAACTGAGTGCATATTCCAAAGTGTAATTTTGTAGCTAACCCTGACTTTCTGTGTTTTATTAAAAGGAGGCTTTTTCGTGTCACACATCACCCTATTACAGTCGCGTTTTATCGGTTAAATGATTTGTGCCAATGCCAGTACTGAGGTAAAATACCACATTTAGGAGTTTTGAACGGTCTGATATAATTTAAGCATTACCACAACTAATGAAGAAAATTCCACCATTTGCATGATAGATTTTGATTGCTCTTGCAAAATCAATTAGTTTTAAATCTTGGGTGCAAACGCACTTCATAGTTTAGGTGGGGCGATAAAATCATGAAACCATTCAACGACAAAAGATTTAATGATTGGAAAGAAAATCAAAGTTGTTGGGAGGTCTCAACTTACCTTGTAAGTATCCTAAACTTAGTACTGTTAAATATGTAGGTCCACTTTAGATACCTTTATAGGTATTTATTAATCAAAGACTTGAGAAAGATAGCTACCCTTTGAATTCCTTGCAGTAAAAGCATTTTAGGTTAGCGACTTACAAAAGTATTTTAAAATGCGTCCAACCACTTTGTGTGAAATGAACTATCCTTTATTTATACACCGTTTTAGAGCCCTCAGTTATCCGTTAATTTATTCAGTCACAGCCCTATGTTTAATTAACGTGTTTGGATAAGACAAATTTTCTAGTTCATTAATTACTCCAAAATCCTTTTTACTTCCGAGCAAGTTTTGCTGGCATTAATTTTGTTTCGACAATTCATTTGATTCTCAGGTAAAATTTTTTATGATGATTGGTATGTTCACCGCCTGATTACTTGCAGGATACTTTTTACCAGGAGATGTTCAATTACTGGCTTGGTTTGCTTGTTCACAGATTTCACCTTCATCTGCATGTCATTTAAATTATAACAAATAACTTTTAACATCACTAGCTTTGTTTATTGCCTAGGATCTAACCATTACAGTCACAACTGAGAGACCAGACACAGAGGTTGACCTAATCCCTGATCACCTCGAAATGTCGGCCATCAACAAGCAAACATTTGTTGACCAGCAGGTAAACGTGGGCTTCTTCTATGTTTGCTATTTAAAGCCCTATAAATTGCTCCCTTCAAAGTGATATTTACTGGTGTAAAAGTGGAGAAAATTGTCTTCGGCATCGTATGCTGAATAGTTATTTAACAAACACCGAATTTTTCATGTAAGGAACTCATGAAGTTAAAACTTGTGTAATCAAATTTAAAATACGCCTGATGTCGGTGTTTAACGGTCAGATCTTTAAAGGGTTTACCTACTCTGGATCAAAATGATTGCCATGTTTTCATTTTCGGGCTCTCAATTTAATTTTTGCCACTAAAGTGTTTCGGTTATTGAAGATTAAACGCAAAAATCGAGTTTTAGTCCTTGTTTCCTCCAAAACAACCATAGTATTCTGCTTTTACTGCTAAATATTAAAGGATAAAATTGTCAAAACTATAACATGCCGTCATTAAAGGCTAGCAAGTATTTCACAACTTTGGTTGTACATTTGAACAGGTTTTAAAATGCGAGCAAAATGCGCGCATGTAAAGTGTAGGCTTATTATAAAATTTTCCTTGATTTCTTGAGTACCTATAAGAAGAAACATGTCGGAATCATGCTTTAGATTAATATGAAGAGAATAAAGTGAACATATCTAAATAAGCAAAATATTACCATTGTTATTTGACTTAGTCTTAAATGCGTTTTTAATCTTTTATATATCAGCTATTCTTCCCCCCTCCCCCAAAGAGAAAGGGTAATGGTCCTTTTTCTGTAACCAATGCAGGAGTGGAAGCTGCACGAGCATGTGGAGATTACGAAACGTGTTATACGGCAGGAGTATTCCCGATCCATGAAGAGTCATCCATGTCTCTCTGTCACTTGTCGAGCAGCGCGGAGACCGGGCTATTTCTACTGGAACGTCTTTCTCATCATGGTAGGCTTGCTACATTTGCATAAGGGAGGCTGACGGCTCCACCTCTACTTAGTCCCCTAACAGTTAGGTTTTAGGTGGTTCGTGAATAAATTTAAAACCCATGTGGACTTGTTTCACTGCATTTCAATTTGCTATCTCGATTAAATCGCGAATAATCAAATGGCTTTTAGCAGCACTGTGAATGGTTAATAGGAATAAGCTTCACTTAAAGGAATATCATTTATGGCATCCATTCCTATTTTTGCTTAATCAAATAAGCCTTAACTTTTATGTGCCGATACTTGTAATTCCAAACAATTACTAGCAGAACACTTATGGAAATAATCTTCAGACTAATTTTTACTTGCCACTTGCTCTAGATCTGACTCGTACTTTCGTTCTTCTACATTTAACATCTTTCATGCGTTGTCATTATAAAAAGGCGTATATTAATTAGAAATATTTGAATTTTACTTTCCTATTTTCAACAATTACCATTTTACTGATGCAATATTTCGAACTGTAAACACTACTAAATGGCCAATGCCATATGTCGCAACTCAGCCAGAATGGCCGATCTATGTGTACATTTGCAATAAGAAAATTGATGATAGTTGCTCTTTTTAGCGTCTAACTTTTGTTTTTTCGTTTGCTTTAAAGTATGATAGGCAATACGCTTTCTAAAACGCTTCATTCAAAAGTTCTCAAGAGTATTGATTTGGGAGGGCCATCCAAAATTCCAAAACACTTTCCTTCGTAGTAATTTTAAAACATTGGTCATACCAACATGATATTTACTTTCTATTGTATGCGTATATGTGTTGAATTTACTATTCTAGCAAGCGGATTATGGTGTTTTGTCCTGAATTTTTTTGTGTTTTCAGTTTATGATCTCGGGCTTATCGTTCGCAACATTCGCCGTATCACCTGATAAAGCTGAACTGCGTCTTCGTCTTTCCTTCACCCTCATACTCACTTCCGTCACATTTAAATATGTCATCACACAGAGTCTACCACGCATATCTTATCTCACTTACATGGTAAGCCATCGGATTTTGTGCGCTCGACGCTCATTGGCACACAATTTCTGCAAACTTAGTTATTTACTGACCATACTTGATACTTAGGTTCTATTTAATTTCTCCCTAAAAAGTTGAATAAGTACTCTTTCTGCTTGAGCTACCATTGATAATGAACAAACCTAAATTACAGATATCTTCAGTTTCTTGTGTGGTAGATATCCCACTTAAAGCTGTCTTTAAATGAAGAAAATAGGGAGCCAAATAACGGCAATCTAAATAATATTGTCGTGCAATTGTAGATTGTGCACACAATGTGAAGTAAACTATGGTATGGCTATAAGAAAATTGAAACTCATGAGGCTTATTTTTAAATAATTCACTATAATATTTGTTTTGCCACACTGACAAATTAGTTTTAAACAAATTTCACGAGCATTTTGGATAACAGGACCGTTTAAAAGCTCCCACTCCCGCTAATCCCCTTATTAACCCCTTCTAATCCGACTATGCTAAAGTACAGCTAATCTGGACTGTTGTCAGTTAATATGAAATCAGAATAAGGTTTATTTTTCATCCTCTTGGAAAAATTAACTTCGGTGTTCCGAAATCCTCATTTTTTGGGTGGACTAACACTTTCCACTACGAATTATAGTGCCAGCGAATGTTTGTGTATCAATACGAAGTTTTGAAACACTTCATTTTATTATCCCATTACATTTAAAAGAACGCAACATTTAAACCTAGAGATTCATGTAACTCCACAAATGTCACCTCACGCAAAAGTTTTCACCGTACATCTTTGACCTTTAAATCGTCTACTTGGGTGGCATCGGTCGTCTCATGATGCATAAAGCAATTCCATTTATTCCTTTAGTAATAAATTAATATAGAATGGCTTCTCTCATAACGTGAAACGGTGTGCACAATAATACTTCAAGATTCTCGAAAGTGCCAAAGGCCTCCTGTTTAAAATTCCTGCTTACATGTAGCTGTACATTGAATTTCAAAAATTGCACTAAATCGGTATCCATTGGGAAGGGCATTCATTAAAACATTGCCACCTTTTAGTAAGTATGACAACACACAAATAATTTTAAAATATATGAGCTGAAAGTGTACGCATAAGGTAACAGCCAGTTTATACCGAAATTAAGGTGTGGTTAGCTGCTTTTATTAAACGTCAGCGATAATGCTCGTTCACAAACGAGTTACATCAAAGATATATTGAGAAATAGGAAGTTCACATCTTTTTTGATTTCATTTTATATCACCTACCTGAAAAATACTAATAGAGCTTTTACGCCTGGAGTATCAGTGTGCTATCTTGTGCTATTGCCAAGCATCAAAATGATAAATAAACATAGACGTCGTTCATATCTGGGATCTCATTCCAATCTTTAAACCCTCACTCTTCAGTTTCCTTATAAACCTACAAAAATGTGCTCAGGATCTTACAAAGCTTTAGTTATTTTCAAAAGCCCTACCTCTAAGCCTGTTTAGCAGCCATTTTATTCCCAAAATTGTTTATTTATTTGCTTCATTTTGGTATCTTAAGATATGAGCATTCGGACAAAGTACTTTCAAGTATTCTGAAGCCAATCGTTAAATTATACACAGCTGAATGCTTAAAGACCTTATTAACCATAAGTCAACTCACCCACTTTCCTCTGGCAGCATATTTTGTAGTTAATGTTAAACTGCTTATTTTCTAGCGACAAGTAAATTAGTAACGTAGAACAAATAGTTCGGCGATTCCAATTGTTTATTTCAAACGAAGATGAAATACTCAAACAGTAAGCAAGTAAATTGGATGCTACAAAAGAATTTTAGTAAGCCAAACGCTACTGTCTGTCTCAATCTCTTATTTAACAGCATTTCATAATGACCGATTTTTCATTGCTTCAGGATAAGTATGTACTGATGTCGCTGGCAATACTCTGTGTTATCAGCATTTGGCATGCAGTGATCGCAATCCTCCCTGTAAACGCGATGTCATCAGTGAACGATATTGCATTATTAAACTCTTCTGCAGCCACAATCAATGTGTCTTCCACGAATCCCGATTTGCTCCACCAAGCTCTTGCCGAAGCCTATCCTCCTACACCTTCTGAATCCAGAAAATTGACTTTTCAGTCTGGTCCTCTTAGTGTGCCAAAAACACAGCGACAGCGCCGAGCCTGGACACCACTCACCAATATTGGAGCAGGTAATATGCCAACAAGTTGAAATTTGTGGTCGTCGCATTAGATTTCTGCTCAGGTTAGTCGTCCATACGTCTCCTAAAATATTATTCAATTGTTCGGCTAAAAGTGTTTAGTGATTTTCATCCATACAGATGTTTTATTTCCAATTATTTTAAAAGTTGAAAAATTTTGTGCACGTTTTTGACATATATATATATATATGTGCATACATATATACACGACACTGTATAGTAATGGAGTTTTAAAAATACTAACATGTTCTTTGATATTTCAACCTCAATAGCTTTATCCACTTTTATAAAAAAGAAGACAAAAACTTCAAAAAACGGATAAAATAATAAGGGCTGACTTCTGGATTTTTTAATTTTAAAATATAACCTTATTATCACTTAATACTTTATTTCGCAGATCAAATGTCCATGGAGTTGTTATAGCTCCTGTTTGCCAACATTCATCAAATCATCGAAGCGTAATTAAAACTCACTTATCGGTCCAGCAGCCAAGATTTTTGCTCATTTTTGTTAAATGTAGGCGTAAAGTAAATAACTTTGCCTCAATCGAATTTCCTATATGTTGACATCGCATCTGTTTTATCGTAGCTTATTTCATGACTCTTGAATGACAAAACTTATCCCAAATCACTATATCTCAATAACATGCAATCATACCTAAACGCATTAGTTAGCCCTTATAAGCTTCGTAAGTTATTTCACAGGAATCAGTTCATCATTCAACAACTCGTTTACTTTTCCTAAAATAATTAACAAATATAATCATTTTTATTTTATGGTCATTTTATTTATTATCGGCTATGCAATGATTTTAATTCAAACATGACTGTACTACTTTTTCGTTTGTCATGATTGACTCAATTGAAGATGCTCATTTGTTTGTTCGCTCAAATGCACGGGGACACTTTATAAGCACTTGACATTGGCGATAGAGACAGTAGTACCAATGTAGACACTTCTAGTAGGCCTGAAAGTGAGTGCCTGCCCCGACAGGAAGATGAATAGAATTTCCAGTTTCATTCAACACCATTAAATTGGTGTGAGGTGTTATAGAATCAATTCAAAGGACTTTTATAGCATAAAACCATATTTCCAAGAGACGTATTCTTGTGTTTTTATTTAGTTAACCATTTAGCTGGTTAGTTAGTTCGTTAGTTAAATGCCTAGATGAAAAAATTGTTTTTACAGACAAAAATACATGTAAACTACCACTTGACCTAGCAGTTTTGCCTTCTTCCCTAATTCCCACTCATTATACTGTAAGGTAACACTTACTGGTGCGGAGCATTATGAAACCCCGAAGGAAAGTCTTTCTTCTAAGAAGACAATGCTACTTTTAAGCCGCATGCTTTAGATATATTCAGTACTCCAAAGTGAGAGCATATATATTTAAGTGTTTTGCGAAAATTTTGTTTTTGTGTTTTCTGATTTGGTAGGGAAATTAGCGTCTAAAGTTGCTGGGTCTTAAAGCAGCTTGAATTAAGCCAGTTTATAATGACTGTCATCGCTTCAGTGCATAATGGTTTAATTCCCTCAGATTCAGCCGAAGCCTAAAATTTCTCAAGATTTTTATTTGATAAATAGCATTCTGTTTCACTCAGTGGCGTCTAAATAAAAATTTATATCGCCAAAACATTTTTTTGTATCAGAACGATAACTTTCCCATAAAACAGTGCAGACGAAGCCAAAAAAATCATAGGTCTACTGGTATGACATTTCAGCATTGTGCGTTTTATAATCAGATGAACTTAAGTTAAGTAGCAATACATTGTTTACCAACTTATATCTTGTAATCTAGCATAAGTCGGGTACATTGTATTTAGTCCTAAAACGGCCCTTTTTAGTTAAACTTTCTAAGTTTGTTAAAATTTTTGCCGTACACTCCAGTTTTTCCGAAAATCCTTATTTGGACGTCCCGCCAACTCCCTTCATAGGGGCCGAATCCCCTACTTCGCCTTCGAAAAACGGCGCTTCCCTTGGCGATTTCACGTTGAACAATGAAATGGTGTCTCTCTACTTCCTCGCCCTTCTTCGTGCCTATATGGATGTGCAGGATCGTGTGGAGTTAAGCCAGTTCCCCGATGCACAGCAGATTGAGGAGCAGCGGCGGCTGGAAGTGATGAAACTCCTCGAACAGAATGTTTTCATTTCATTCGCCGTACTCTACGTCGTCGTGCATTGCATCTTCATTTTCATTCTCTACTTTGATGTATGTGCAATTTTAAATTAAAATAATAGGGTAGAAACATCATTTGCATTCCAAAAACATTGACAAAAGTGCTTCTTATGGTAGAGGATAACTGTCTACCCACTTGTGCTCCTTGCAGTTTTTCGCTATTTATGAAGGAAAATCGGATTTTCGTTTTTCCTTTATCCAAGAGGAGGAAAAGTAATTGTTACTACTTTATCTTGTTACCAGAACCATTAAGCTTCTTCACCAGTCGCTTTTTAAGGAATTAAATTTTTTCTACACATCCTTTTATTCTGACTCTTTATTGGAAGTACCGAAGCTCTTTTAAGAGCAAAAGAATTTGCTTTTGTATTTCTCAATAAAATTGCTACTTTTCTTTCCTTGGTCTGTGTTTTACTTAAGAAACACCTCTTTTGACAACACTATAACTTCATTTTACATTTCAAAACGGTTTTGATTCCCCTATTTGAGTAAAAAGCACTTTGGAGTTTGAGTTACCGATATACTTGTGTCCGTTTAGCAAAAAGCGAAGTCAAATAAAAAATTTCTGTGTATTCTTCAAAAACTTCTTCTTGTTCCTTTTTTAACGCCCTTTCTTTAAAGGGGTAATCTTTCAATTAGTCGCCTTTAATGTCATACTTTCCAAGAGTATAAGAGGACAGACATGGGTAATCACAAGCTAAATGATTGCCACAAATGTCTATTACCAAAATATCCTTATCTTTTCTATGCGTTTTTTGAAAATGTATGTACAGAGAGAAAACATTAACGCAGGTTTCTACATCTAGCATTCCCTAAAAAAATAAAATAAGCATCCTTCGTGATTAAACAGTGTCTGTGAGTATTCTTCCATGATATCAATCCTATTTGTTACAACTGTCAACTTTCAATGCAACATTTTAAGTTCCATTTAGAATTTGCGAATCAGTTTTATAGAATGGACTACGTTGACTCAATGTAGGGGTTTTTTAAAAACGAGGGCACTTAGATTTTTCTTTATAATACTTTGAAAATCACTTAGAATTATCGCAAGGAGAAATTGTAAACTACTGATGGTTTGCTTGCACCACCCGTTCACCCTTAAAAGTGAATATTTGTTGCAGCGAAAGGGCGAGATTTAATGCAGATAAATGGACGAAGCTCGTGCCATAATTTTTGTGTTAACGCTACAATCTATCAAAAGTGATGTGGCTCAATCGTAGCGTCGGGTAGACGTGTAAGTTTGGCCTGTCCTTATTTGATCCAGCTGGAGCAACATATTGTAGAGTAAAGAGTATGAAAAAACAGCATAGAACGCAACTAAGAAGTTGATGATTATATTGGTAGTTTTTATTTAGCCATGATAGTCAGCATAAACAATGATACTGAATGTGAATTTTCAGTTTGTTTGTAAGCTGTGACGAATTTGTGGATAAACTGACGCTTAGAAATTAACACCATCCACTTTAAATGTTCTGCCTCCATCCGTCGCAACTTCATTGGCCAAAGCTACGGTGTGCACAGCTCCACTAGTGGTCAATGCCGCCTCAGTTTTGCTTTTTTATTTTCTTACTTCCCTAAGCTTATTTTAATGTGTAGTCGGGGAAGTAAAAACCTCGCACAAGTGCCAATATATCCTTGAACGTATTTAATCTGTTAAAATAGTGAGACAAGTTATATTTGAGCTATTTGATGGGGAGATATAATGGATAATGAATGGATGTCGAAACCACTCTTTTTACTACTTCAGTGATATGGTGCTTAGAGATAGATTGAAGAAGTTAGACACTATTAGCAAAATTTTTTGTTCAATGTCATTGTTTGAGCACAGGAACTGCAAACGACGGGTTAACTTTGGATCATATATGTATTGACAGGATATGGTCATACTTGAAACTTAACCACTATCATCTACCTTTGAGGTGCATATGCAAGTATCCATCCTATCCACTCCCCATTTCTCCATTAGGTGATTTAATTTTAGCTCGACATCATAAAACTCGGCTTGATATTGCCCAGATTAATGAATAACTGCTGAAGTAATTTGAATGCGTCCTAAAACACCACAAACCCATCCCATTTTTACTTAACTCTCATTTATCTTCCACAATTTAATAAAACTATGAATTTTCGATTTGGCCCCTTCTTAGTTAATTGCTTCTCTTCTTCTGCTCTTATTCAATGACTCTTTGTTACATCTTTGTAGGCTAGCAAGAGAAGAAGAGAGATGTGTAAAAAGGACAAAGAGTATCGGGTGAGTAATGCGAAAATAGACGTATTTCCTTATATTGTGAACGAAAATGTTTGCTTAACAGATAGTATTTTTATCGCATTTTAGTTCCACTTATGGAAACTGTGCAAATAGCTACAAAAATCTACACTTTTTTAGCTTCTCTTTAGTTCCAGGCTTATTACACATGAAGCACTGGTTTGGTGATGAGGAAAGATTGAGTCAATGTAATCATTATAAGTTTTCCTATGCTAGGACACCCTCAATACACGTAATAATCGGAGTATTCATCAGGCATATCATGTAGGTGCAAAGGTGTTTATGATGTGTTTTCTATTTTCCAAATAACTTAGTTGTTATGCTTATGATCCATTTACCAAATGAGCGATAACATTGCTTGATGGCTTGCATCTATGGGCTTTTTTAGCATATGTTTAGATATTTTGCATTTATTTTGTTTGCTTTTTCTAAAAATTCATCATTCAAATGAGCTGCTAACTTTATTTTTCTTCTTTTCCTATCCCTACCCCACAAAACCAAACAATTAAATGTCCCTCATTGTTCCAATTTGTCGTTGTGTTACTGGTGTGCCGTCTTTATCACTACTTTTTGTCCTCATACCAGCAATTTCTGCAGAAGAATCTTCAATGGTTGGAGTGTCAAAAGAATCGAGATAGTAGAGTCAACATAGAGACACGTGAAGATACGATTTTCAACACAAACGCGAATAGGATAACAAAAACACCTTAAGTACGTATGGTACAAGTCGAATGAAAGCCATTTGACAGTTCCAGATAACCATTAAAAAGAAGTGAAGTGACACTTTAGTTGTAACTGAATTATGAACTAATCGAGAATCCATTGATTAGCTACCAGTGAAAGGATATTTCAAAAGTATAGTTGGATAGAATTCTGAATTTTTCCAATTTTTGGAGTTTTAACGTGAGTCGTAACCGTGTATAAATAAATCTTTTATTTTACGTCGGGTTGAAGGACTTGCGACCCTTTGGGAGAGAAATTTAACGCCTAACTGTAACAAGTAGCCTTGTTTGTACAATGTAATTGTTGTCAATTCCATTTGACGAAATTCGCAACTCCATCTTAACCTGACTGACTTCTACGTTTTAGTCTAAAGTTGCCGTTTCTGGTGGCAAGCCCCCAGGAGGCCATCCCCTCTACAGGTCATACTCTTAGCCCCTTATCATCCCCTTTCTATGCTCCTTTGTTTACCTGCTTGACTCTGCGAGCAGTTGCATGAAATAAGCTAAAGCTTTTGACTTGCGGTATTCACCAAGGGGGCCTTTTGACTCTGTTTTGTATGCCGATCCGAGAAAAAATGCAATTTATATGGTCCGGCTTGAGCTCTGTTTTTGGTTTTGGGGGGTCATTTTGAACTTGGCCATGCACTAGTGCTGCTTTATAAATCTTTACTCATGAACATGATAACTTTATGAATAAATGATTGTCCGAAATCCGTTGTCTACTAAATTGACTTTGAAATACTCGGTTATTGCCTTAACGGCAAATAAATCCTGACCATACATTGAAAATGTTCTATTCTTTTATGCCAAAGACGGAAATGTTTCCTGTCTGCTTTTCTCATTATGTATCGTATACAATTGTGCCTCTTCCATTAACTCTCTGTTAAAACATTGGAGTTAAAAAAGGCACCCGTTCTACTTCTTTCGCAAAAACACTGCATTATTAATGCGAAGTTACTACATGTGCATACAAATGCATAAGTCCACTATGGTACTCTAAACTTATCTTACAAAACACGTTAAGTTGCTATTTGCGTTGCTCTATGGATGGAAAAAAAGATTTCACTACGTGTATCATCTTTGTCTTTTTATTAAGTTACTAGGTCTTTTCAAAACGGCTGGACTAACGAAAATAGTTTGTTCCGTCATCATTTCGAGTCATCCGAATGCTAGCTTTAAATTTTTAACTATCTGCTGCACATTTGACGATTTGGCTTTGAATTTCTTCCCGATACCTTTGAGTCACGGTGCAAGGCCCCAGGTTTAAATCCCATATTTGGTTTGAGTAAGAATTTTTAATGCGAATAACAATAATTGCTACTATTCGCTTAGTGTTTTCAAAACTTTGCTTATTAATCAGTTCGGATTAGGATACTTGAGGTTTAGGATGCCATAATCTAAGAAGCTGATACGAAGTTTGTTCTTTCAATAACATTATTGAAGATGTTCAGAACTTTGCATGCTTATAAAATGTTACAATACCATGGTTATTTGAAATCGTGTTGTAAAAGCCAGTTAAATAGACAATTTCCAAGGTGTGATTTCCTCCCCTTCCTTCCTAAGCAAGGAGATTTTCCAGTTGTTGAAGGCAGCATAAATCCATTAAGGAATCATTTTGATTAATAATCATAATCCAGTACTACAATTAATGCCTCATTTAATTGACATTTATCTTAGACTGTCTTATACCTTCCAAGTTCGTTCAATGTGACATTTATAGGCACTTGGCTTGACATTATTACAACGAGGTCATACCTAGCATTGAGTTTATTTTTTGCAGATCCCAATGGGTAAATTATTTCTCCTGCTGCTTTTAATACCAAGCTCGACTTGTCATCAGCTGTAAAGCTTATTACATCGTTGATATGTTCGTTAATTCCTAAATGCTAATGTTGATTGTTCATATTTTACTATTCGAAAAAATTATTTGCAAACAATTTATGGTCTAACGTAGAATATAATCTCTTTATTCGTTGGTCTTTTAATTGAGCTTCCTCTTTTAGTGCTACCTTAAAAGCCTAAATAAGCAAGAGAACTTCCCGAGCATTTTTTGCATTCAGAGTTATTCCGTAATAATGGCGGCCTAAATGCTGCCTCTCTGTTTGAATGCTTTGATTTTGTTGAAACAGATGGGAGAAGAGTGACTAGGATAGAGTTTGAAGGGATATTAAAATTACAACCTTGGGCAAAAATCTACTTATTGAGACAGTCAGTTCAAACAAACCCATAATGCGCATGTTTAAATAGGCATCTGTATATTCCTAAGTGCAAAACGATAGCTGTTGTGCTTAAAGAACAGGTAGAACGGAGTTTTCCGTACTAGATAGATTATCTGACCCTGAACTGGTCAGGTAGTTGGCCAGATCGTTTTGACGACTGCGGTTCCTTGACTTCGATCGACGACTTTTGCGTTCGCCAGAACCTCCGTTCAACTCCAGCATATCTTCGTCCTTCAATGAGTTCTGCTGAAACTCTGAAACTGGATCCTTTGGTCTCCTTTCCCGCTGCTTCTTACGTCTTCGGTCCTCGGATCCTTCCAGACCCTCTCGCCGTTTTAACCCTTCCGCTACTACTACACTTGAATCTGATCTTCTACGACCAGTCAGGGATGAGAAGGTAGCCAGAACTGAGTCACCTCTTTCTAAGTGTTCAGATTTGACAAGACCTCCGCTACTTGAGCTATCCTCACTATCTCTCGCACGAAGTCTACTTAAATCTAATAAACCTCGAGTTCGATCCAGGAGACGAGTTTTCAGCGAAATTCTTCCCATGGCTCCTTTTCCCCTGTCCTTGGGAGAGAAGAGTTCACTTTGGGGTCGAGTATGCTCACTTTCAGTGTCACAGAGGGGTCTGTATACACCCCCGGGTGACCGATTTTGAGCCATTCGGCTAAGGCTGTTTCCTTCCTCTCCACTACTCAGAGTTCTGACCTTAGCACTAGTCAGCCCATGCCGTGACTCGCCCCTCCTCCTCGGTGTTCGATGCTCAATACTTCGTGCTCTTCGAGAAACTTCTCGTCTCCTTAAACTTTTGGGATGTTTCTTCACAGTTTCATTACTTTTTTTCGTTTTATTATGCTTCTTGGGTAAATTGGAGACAGACTCTATTTTATCGGCACTAGCAACTCTGTAATTGTTGGTAGTCGTTGTATCGACAGTGGATGTGTTCATCTGCGCCTCTGGTTTGATATGGTTTGTTGTTTGCATATTTGTGGGATTGACGGATTTTCGTGGTAGTGTTCCCGACTTTATTCCACGTTCTGCATATTCAGCAAAATTCTGACTTTCCACAAAGTTGGGATTTATTTTCACAAGACTACCCACTAGCTTATCGTTTTCTTCCTCCAATGCATCCATGTTGACTTTGGCAGCGTGAATGTCACGCAGAATTTTGTCCTTCATCTTCTGTTGTTCATCAGTTCTTTCGTGGAATCGTGTCTCCAATGACTTTTGAAGGTCTACTTTTGATTGAAGGAAGCGCACAGACTCTGATAGAATGTGATAAATCTGTTGCGTTCTTGTGTAGATCTCCTTCAATCGATCGGAAATGTCTGAAGCTTTGCGAAGGAGCTCAAACTCTGGCCTTTCAGACCAAAAGAAGACACGCTCTAGTAGCCCTATGTTTTCCGTTACAATAGGCATGCAGTAATTGCACACCTGCCCCAGGACAATGCTGAAATGCAGTTGAAGGTAAAATAAATCTCGATAGTAATCCAAAAGCGGTTTCACTTTGTTTCGAACTTCTTTGTGAATCTCGTCAAGAGCTAGAGCAATGTTGTCAATAAGATGGACTTTAGATCTACCACCATCACCGGCACACATATCGGAACTGGCCCTGCGTTGAACAAGCATTTGCTTACGGGTCTGTGGAGCTCTAACCATGGCCAACTGCCGAGCTGTCAGGTTATTTTCCACACCGTTAAAGCCGTGGTTGACCAGCTGTTGGGCCAGATTCGCATTATGCTTTATTCGATCCTCTAACCTATTCTCCGCTTCATATAGTTCCATTTTTAACTCTTCTATTTCATCCTCACTGGCCTGTAGTTGTTCTTGCACAAAATCCTTTGTTATAAGACTTTTCTGCTCATCAACAAGTCGGCGGTACTCCTCCAGCTGACGATAACAAACTATGAAAATATCCTTTGTTTGAAGGATCAAACGTAAATCGCCTTGAATTTTTGGAGGATAGGTTGGGAGCTTATCCGTTATTATAGGTAAATCCATTCCGTCAGCTCTCGAATTTTATAGAAATGGGTGTAAATTGTGTCAAACGATTTCTTCTCAAAGCAACTCAGTTTGGGTGGAGACAGCACATGTGTGATTCAAACTTTCCTTCTTCCAGTCTGGATCGATGTAGCATCGCGCAGATCAGCTGTACTGGGGATTGTGGTGCCGCTTGCATTTATCCCCACCTCTTTTCTATAGTGCGAGTTGCATCTAGCCTCCCCCAATGCAGGCGAAAATATCGGTTTAAAGTAAAAATTTAGGGCTCTGACAAATTTGTCATTCCACCCTTTTATATCCCGTGTTGGAATGGAAGCATATTGCACTCTTATTTATCAGTAATTTAACTTGACAGCAGAAAATTCCATTGCCATTTTGTTTCTTTCCGTGTAAATCAAAGGGATTCACAGTAAATTATGCCAATAGAGCCACTCTGGTGCATCATTTTTCTGTCCTTTGTTTATTTAAACATACCCTACATGCTAATCTATGTTCCGAAAAATCGTTAGTTGGGTGTCAATCTCTAATTCCAAAGTGGTTTTGAGTATGTTCGATGTGATTCGAAAGTGGTCGGTGATCATATTAGGTCCAGCTTTATCTGTTAGCGGATGTTCAAAAATTGTCAAAAATTATAATTCATGCAAGGATGCCAGTGAATTACAAACAAGGCCCTAAATAAAGTTTTGCTTTGAATTCTTATTTTTTAGCATTTTTTACTATTTCATGGCAGGTTAGAATTGTTCCTTATACCGCGTTTGATGGAAGCTGTGTTGATTAGTAGAGACAACATCATAATTGTTGATCGGTTGAGTAAATCTAAATCTAAGTGGCATCTACTTGTGTTGCATAAATGCATAAAATTTCTCTGCCCTAAGTAACGGCTGCCTGTAATTACTTCACCCGCTCTGTTCTCCTTATTTGCCATAAAGTCGTGAACGCTGCAAAAAAGGTGGTCTTAATGCACTCGACGGTAGAAAAGAGTTGTATGCGTTGTGTGTCCACGACTTCACTTTTCCCTGAAACATAGATTACCCCATTCCTATAGTTATGAAAAAGTGAAATAATAGTTGATTAAAATTAGGGCCAAGGCCTTTGAGACACAGGCCGTATTAATCTACCATATACCGGGAGGATGGGAAAATTTGCAGCTAATTTTGTAAAGCTGGAACTCATTAGTCCTAGCCTATAAAATACAACTAATAGACCATTTTAAGACATCTAAAACAAACAAAACAGAAAATGAAACAGCACCTTGAAACATCTATTTGTCTTCTAGTGTTTCAGACGATCCTAAAAGATCTATGCATATTTCACTCCTTTAAAATCAAATTTTGCCATAAAATTGTCCAACTACGATTGACAATGCTGAATGAATAAACAAATGTCAATTGCACGCACAAGTCATCTTATTCCTCCAAATCAACTGTTTATCGAAATCTAACCATGCCCTTTGGGCATATAATGTGTGCTTGATATAATGATTTTAATAGTAATATATCAAGGGCCATTAATTAAACATCGCACAGGTTACTGAATTAAGATTAAGCCGGAAAATATTTGGGCAGGACTTTTGAAATGCCTAGCGCTAGATGGCTTGTAGCGAAATCACCGATGGAACTATTTTCGGATGCATTTGCAATCACTTTCTAAAGGCGTTTAATCAAGATAACGTCTGTGACGTTGGGGGATAAATTAATGATGATGCCAATGACGAGGTATTGTGGTGCTGGTAATTCCCAGCTATTATTAGAGCTCTTAAATAATTGGTGCAGCGAGGATACTGTGTTCTAGGCGTAAAACACTATAAACTGGCCAGTGTGGACCATATCCGTCATCAAAATAACGTGAAACTTAATGGTCATTGCCAATCAAAGAGCCTATACACACCACTTCAACAAAATTTATAGCGTCATCAACGGTATCAAGGTTAAAGACATCAAAAAATTCCCATATATTGTCTACATATTTGCAGCACTCCGATTTTTCCCTAAAGTTGTGAGAAGTTCACGTGGTAGGGAAGACCATATATCGCCCATACATATTATGCACATATGTATGTGTCGTTCATAAAGTTGCAGTGTTAATAGTGTGGCTTGAAGGCCATACTGCAGTGGAGTAGTTAGACACACACATAGAGAAAATATCATGTCACCATAAAAATGCTCTCCTCTTTC